AACAATTCGAGCTGTTCCTGAACATACGAGAACAAGCTGCCCGGACTCAGCCACAGTGACCGTCACGTAAATCACAGAGGGCGCTCAGATGGCGTATAATTATAGTTTATTCCAGCTCGGTAGTGTGAAAGCCTGCATACGAAGGCTGCATATGAACATTTCAGGGAAAACCTGGGTACATTTCACTCCAACAAGGCATGACTGAATCATGCCATGGTGTGTTGGATGGATTAGTTGACGATGTGGTGTGATGACAGGGAAAATGTTAACCTTCAGTATTGTTGATGGGGTCACTAAACATCCCTTCGGTACTGGGGTTGGAAGACGTGCTTGTCGTCACCAAGGGCTGCGGGGAATACGATTAAGGTTCACGATAATAATGTCACGTTTGTATCGGCGCCAGTTTTATGAAAAGGCAGGTTTATGAAAATTTATGGGAAGGCAGGATGTCAACATTTACCGGTGTTTGTTGACACAAAACTTCAAGTTTATATCTAAATTATGAAAGAACTGATAGATGAGTGTAAATTGATTATTTCATCAGATTTATAGCCAGTACTTATCGAGTTCCGTTCAAAAGAGATAGAGTTATTGCCATCAAATAGTTCGCTATTTGGTACTGTTGTCAATGGATTACTTTGATCTCTTTAACAACACAACTCACTTATGTAACCTGCCTAGCCCAGTTTCAACATCTTTAGTTTTGATCATAATGGCATTTTCCGTTTAAAGATAAGCAGTTGTTCCTCTTTGGAACTGTTATAGCAAATTCCCTATTGCTCTCGGAATTCTAGCCAAAGTTATTCGAGCAGCGTACATAAGATATGTACTGCTTCTGGCTTAGGTATCTTAAGTAGCCTCATCCGAACCCTAATTTCTTGCCAATCAACTACACTCATCCATCACTCCGTTCGACAGCTTCGGCATTTTCCCCAGTCCTCGCAAATGATAGCAATTTGCGTATATAGAAACTGGTTAAAGAGGATATTGGAGCAAACTGTAACTCGTAACATTTCATTTCAGTGTCGTCACAAGAGGGTGCGCTCGTAGGGCTGTGACTCTGCCATTGGGTGTGTTTATTGTTAACCTCGTCGCTCTAGCCGGTAAATATAATGTGCAACTGTCTGCCGAAGAAGATGCCGTCAACTTTAAGGCTGCCCATATGTTTTTCCTGGAGCCATTTGCAATTGATGAAGTAACACCGGCATTCAGTTGGTCAAGAAACCCCCGTTTTACCATGCCCTAATTAACCACCTTGTTTTGAAGAATTTTCTTCCAATCCCTGATTTATACAAAATTTCATTAATTTGTTTGGTTAACCAGTGTGAATCGCACCTAACTGTAAGCCTCAGAAATCATGAGCTGGTCGTACAAATCAGTCAGGAATTCATAAAACTGTAACACAAACAGGAATACTCGGACGCCAGACGAAATGGGTATTTCGTATGAGTAAACCGCCAGCCAAGTTCCGTAACATCATGAGCTGCGGCGAACCAAACGGCAAAACAGCCCTGAAATTTCTGAGAAACGACGCCCATGCCTGCTGGTTCCACTCATTAAAAGTGCATACTCATATCGTGACGTCACCGCTGGGGTTTTGATTGGCATGCAGGGAGAATCAGCAACGCCTGGATAATCGTGCGATTCTGGAGAATCCTTGACCGACCTCAATTATGATTTTGATTTCAAGGAATAGGGACAGAAAGTCGGAAACACCTTCGACAGCAAATTAGGCCTTGTTTGAGCATGACTGTTATTGCAGATCCGAGGGGTGCGTTCGAGCAAGCCACTCGTAATAAACACAAATTCGCTCAAGAGCGCTCGATGGTGCAGACCACTAATTCAATTGAGAATTTCTGGCCAGCTCATTAATGGCCCCGCAGTATCTTTGAAAAAGGAGATTGTTACCCCCCCCCCATGGTGAGATTGTGTAAATCGTTGCCAGGATCAACTCCCTGAGTCTTTGAGCTTTCATATGAGAGCAGAATGGCTAAAAACTACGGTTGAAAAATGGTCCTAGGTGCCCGATAAAGTTGAGTGTTGCCACTTGAAAAATAGCTGCAATCATACTTCGGAAAAATCACTTTTCGGGGAGTTACATGTATTTTATTTCTTTGTTAATTCTTGCACATGTTAGTCAAGCTCAGGAAGTACAACTAACGTCTGAGAGACCAGAGACATGTCGGTAAAACTGATATGCCTCAATTATATATTATGTATTTTATGCGTATTAGGTATACAAGTTAAATTGTGCCTCCTATTAACAGAAAGGTAGTCCCTCTGGTAATGTATGATGTAAGCTGGGGTTTGCTTATTTCTAGATCAAGGATAGATGAAGATGGACCGGACTGGAGTTCTAAGGACCACTTTCGTGGTATTGTTGCTCGGCGGTACTATACTAGCGCAAACGCCCAAAACAAAGCGACCGCCTCCCGTGTTGTCCAACAAATCTTTCCGCAATTTGACGGCTCTGCCGCCGCTGCCTGGCGAACTGAACCAGGGCAACGGGGAGACGTCGATGACCGAGTGGGACATCCAGAGAACGGTGGACCGGCACAACGAGCATCGGAAGAACAGTAGGGCAAGCAACATGCAGTTCATGGTAAGTGGTAGCTTGCCACTGGGTGTCTGTCACTCCCATACCGTTTGTCAGGTTAACTGCCAGGCTGTTCCTGTGAAGTAACAAGGGAAGAATTGCTGTAGTATACACCTTCAGGGCCCCGACTTTGTCTCTCATTTCATCCATACCCAAGAGAGTTGTTGGTGTTGAATTGGCCGATTTATTCTGGGGTTTTTTTGTTTAAACAATTCAAAATTTAGCGTGCTTGATATCACAGAAACACTCGAGATACATTGTCTTCTTCATGTACATCCGTTCTTCATTCTTTCTGCAAACCGGTAGACTGAGGCGAAGTAAAACTGTAATGAGTTATTAAGGCATTGCCTCGAAATTATGGTGCATCGACACCAACTGGATCAAGCAGCATGGTTAAGTGTTAAAACGTATTTGCATAGTCGGCCTACTTAGTGGTGCTGAAATGAAAAGTGTCCTCAGATATCTCCCTTTCTTTCTTGTCCTTCCACTGTATAGACGTGGGATGCCACCCTGGCCACCATGGCCCAACGATGGGCTGAACGCTGCGTCTTCGAGCACGGCTTCGTTGAGAACTTATCCCCGTACGAGTCGGTTGGACAGAACCTGTGGCTACGGGGTGGCGATCCGAACAAGCCCATTTCTGGCGTGGTGGCCACAGACGACTGGCACGACGAGATTGATTATTACTACTACGAGAGCGACACGTGCACCAGTGTGTGCGGGCATTACACCCAGGTATATATGAACTAATCAATCGCACTCTGGTGGACTCATCAGAGGCCAACTCGGTTGTGTTTGGCTCTCACCACAAAAAGATAAGGATTTGCATGTCCTATACTTACTATACAACACTCTCTGTGGACTTAGTACAGGGTGAGGACAGAATCGAGAGAAAGATTGACCAAGGAGCAGAGGACAAGACTTTTGTTCCCTTACATGTTTGTCGCACATGATAGAGTTGTACACATCGCCGTTCCTGTAACTTCCCGGTTGCAAATTCTGCAGCTAAAGTGGGGGACCGTGGACCCTGTAGATACGTTTCAAAAGTTTGAGAACAGTAACTGTAAAGACTCGTAAAAAGTTATTTACTGTAGTCTCTCATAATTGTTGATGTTATAAGATGACTATCAAATCAGAAATATCAAGAAATCACGTTCGTTTTCGTACTTCACAGGTGGTGTGGGCGGAGACTAACAAAGTCGGGTGTGGTCTGGCTTACTGTGGTTACATCAGCGGTTATCGAGATGCCTGGAATTTCGTCTGTAACTACGGTCCAGCGTAAATATCCATTGTTGGCATGTTGTCAAACAAGAAGAAGAAGAAAAAAACATGGTCATGAACAAAATAGCCTTTTGACTATCACAATTTGATGATTTTGGTCTCTTTTTTGACTTCGTATAGGACTTGAATTATCATGCGTTTCTGGTCGTACCTATAGTCCAAACTACATGAGTGTAGAGTCTCTTGCGAGATCCGTTATACGCTTTCAGTCGCATAATTAGGCAGCGGTATTATGCTGATTCATTTTCTCATTCTCTTTTCGGGGTAATCGACAGAGGGAACTTCTACGGGGAAAGGCCGTACAAGACGGGCAATGTGTGTACCCAGTGTCCGACTGCGAGCCCGTTCTGCTTTAACGGACTATGCCGTGAGTGAAATTTGGACTTTGGGGATGTTATAGGCTAATGTAGCTGTCAATTTGAACTCATGGTGTTATTGAAATCATATGTCTCTTTGCGTTTTTGACATATTGCAAGACATTGTCTTGTTGAGTCTTTTTGTAGATGTTGAAAGCGTTACACGTGTAACAATGAATTGCTCGTTCATAATTATGTTAAAGAAATATTTATGACCATCTCAATGTGGTTTTTAACAGGTCTTTGCAACTTGGAGGAGGCGGGCTGCTGTAAGTAAAGAAGTCTGACTTAATTTTAACCGTATTGTTCTTCCAATTTAAAAATTTGACTGTTTATCTAAGAAATGGAGTATTCAATCATAAAAGCAGTACAGACGACCCTGTCACACCATGCATTGACGACATCTTCTTTTCTTGATCTTTGTTTTAGCTTGCCCTCTGACGTGTCAGAACTGCGGTGTATTTAACAAAGACAAGTGTTACTGCGAATGCCCCGGCGGTTTCTACGGACCGCAATGTGCTGGTAAAGCGAGCTGAGTTTATGGAGTTCCAAGGATGGAAATGTACTGATAGAATATTTAAAGCATAATAGCAACACAGCTACGATAAATAAAGTTCGATGTGGTACATTCCTTTCCTGCACGCCCTTGCGTCCTCAATACTGAACAATTATTCTCCGCTTAAGACTAAAAAACGTACCAATATTTTCTTATTTTTAGTTCAGTATCATTGCATCAGCCACAAACTATTTTGTAAATCAAAACGATAATTGTTTCAAATTACTATTATTCCTAATACTTTGAATTACATAGTTAAATCGAAAATGAGTAATAATCTATTTTTTTTATTTTGGAAGGATAAATTTTGGAAGGAAAAGCAGGACCGACCATTTAACCATACCGTTTTCTGTTTTTCCTCCTCCTCTTGATGATCATGCCAATCCAATGTTTCTGTCCAGAGATATCAAAACTTGTTATCTAACCCCGTAGATGAGTGTGTCGACACACATCGGTGGTGCGGCGCAAACCCAGGATGGCCTAGCCCCGCATCTTGCTCCTGGGACCCATCCGTTCCGAAGGGTTGCCCTCTCATGTGCGGCGTATGCCGTGAGTATCGAATGTCTTCCCCTTCTTCAATGCCAGCCTATGCTGATCAGTTTTATCTAGATAATGCTTGATGGCTTGCAATTAAATTTATTCCTCCATGTTACATTTTTCAGAGGCAAGAGACCCGGAATTCACCTGTGGTAAGTTTCGACAAGTGTGACACTTTTGCCATGCATGTCATAGGCGTTCATCGTAAGATAACGATGTGGGTATGGGAGCACATAACGAATGGGTGGGAGACGTCTTAGGTGGATATCTCTAACAAACATTCTACCCCATTAACACTCCGACATTTCTGAAAATAGACATCCCAAGATTTTTTAAACTCTTATCACCCCAGTAATTGTTGATATTCAAACAAGAAATAGCCTGTGGGAAATGCACTACAGTGAATTCATTGAGAGGCAGGGGAAAGACGATCAGCTTCAACGTACTGATTAAAAAAACAAAGCATGGGGTGTGTGATCATTAATATGTAATGAAGTTTGAAGGAAAATTAATTCGTAAAATCAGAGGAAATAGGGCGACATTAATAGAATTATGTTTCATTGAAATGATTGAATTGACTGGAAATATGTCGTTAGTAATCAGTTGAAGTCCATAGAAGACATTTTATTTCTCTTGTCACTCTGGGAGTATCTGGAATAAAAAGCATGCCCTTCTGCAACAAGAAATATTATTTACAAATTTCGTAATGTCAATTTAATGCAGTCTTTTCCCCGTCCACATTATTCTTTACCACAGATCCCAACCAACCCGGACCCGGACCGGCTGACATTCCCACCCCTGACACCCTCTGCAACACCGCCTTCGATTCGGTGGCTATGATCAACGGTGAACTGAATGTTATCAAGGTGATCACGAAGGAATGTGACACTTTATCCAACCAAAAAGCACTTCTGAGACAAGTTTTGTTTCGCTCTGTAGTTAATCTCTTGATCTCTGTTGCCACTAAACAGGGCAAGAAGTACTGGCGTTTCGACCAGCAAGGCAGACTGACCTCAGAGCCCTCAGGAGAGCTGTTGAAGCATTACCACTCGCTGGTCAAGAAAGGAGTCAAGGCATTGTACCAGATCGGTGCGGAGGGACCATACCAGAACACCATCTCCATGGTACGAGGTAAGGACTAAGGGCAGACGACATGTGTACTTAAATGGTTTGCACAAACAGTCCCTTGCCGCGAGTGTATATGTGGTTCATGACCTAGATTTCGCTCGCTACCCAGCGCTCGATCGAAGTGGGTGCCAGGAAGGGCTGATGGTTTTGTACTGTGATTGGCTACTTTGTGCACGACCTCCGACCGCGAAGTTATCACTTCCTGTTAGCGAAGCGTCATGGCAAGCTTTAGGTTAGCCAAATGTCTGCTTATATGATAAAACATAACAAAACACGATAATTCATCTTCTCACAAAGTATTATTGACTAGGCCTATGGTTCTTTTGGCGATATATTTCAAATCATCTTGATCACGTTTGGATGAACTAATAAAGTGTAGTGAGAATATTTTCAACAATGAGGACGAATAAGAAAAAATATCGAATTGAAATCCGCCTCATTAAGCAAGCTCAAGTGCTCTGCGCGTCGTCAGCTGTATTTCCTTCACTAAAATCTGAGCAAGGCTAAATGGGCTTAATTCTTAAGCACATGTTATTTTATTTTGCAATCACTTTGATATCTTGGCCGGCACTTTCTTTGTAGAACAAATGCTTATTGCCCGAATGAAATGGAGAAAGGTTTCATCTGCAGAATATTCCTTTGAGGGCCAGCATGATTGATGAGTGCAAAAGGTTGGCCATCCACCTTGAGCAGCAGCACCTCCTCGGATGTTGAAAAAACATTTTGATGGGGAGTGTTCATTTTGTTGGTATCGATGCGACCGCATAAACGCATGCATTTTATAGTCGTCTGTGAACTATAGCGAGGTACAGTTCCCACCGAAGGAGCTCTGTTGCTAGAAAGATTTCGCTCTTTCCTGGTCCCGCTCGTGATGCAAACTATGTATCGGGTACGGACTATTAGGACGGGAGGGGATTACATGCACCTAGATATCCAAGAGGGGTTTTGGGTACACAACACGTTGAGGTAAACCAATTTGAATAAAGATTACAATCTTGGCTCTGTATTTTGTTTTAGAAGGAAAGTAAAGTCCGACATTTCAAAAGGGAAAAGCCTACACGCGACGTGAAAAGTTGTATCCTCTCAAGGCTGACTATAAAACCATTTTCAAATAAGAAAGTACAATTCACGGTATATCGTACCCCCAGAATATATCGAATCTGGCTCACAGACTGCACTAATTTTGTCCTTTTCTTCTGTATACCAAGGGAAGAAGATATGGCGCTTTGACGGCAATCGACGACGCCTGAACGGCTGGCCTCGGAATTTGTATAACGACATCGGCATACGGGAGCGGATTGCCGCTGCCGTACATGACGAGCGATACGGCATCACTTACTTGATAGCCGCCAAGACATCGAACGTGTATGAATATGACGAGAGCGGTGAACAGTTGGTGCAGGACAACCCACTGCAAATCAATGCGGTGTTCGGTGGGTTACCAGTGAAGATAACTGGGGCTTTCCGCAGTGGTGGTAAGTTTTAAGATCAAGGCTACAGGGGTTGAAATTGGAATACGTGATCATGGAGCTATCTGGGTCAAAACTCCTTACTTGGGTGTTGGGCAAAATGCGTCACCATTCTACAGAAATCCCAAAGGCTTGACCATGAACAAGGTCGGGTGCAGGAGAGGGTTGGTTTGTTACTGTTATCTGAGTAGTTACTTGAAGCCCAACTGGATAGATTACAGACTGGAGGGGCATACTGATACGTCATGCATGTGAATTTAATAGGTCTACTTCAAAGATAAGATACTCATCGTGCGCATACCTGAAAATAAATGTGTATCTCCCTGGAAGAAGGATGACGAATCAGATTTCATTCAAGACCAGAGATCAGAAAATACTGTTGGAATCTGAGTGAAGGGCGATTTTGAAATCGATATGCATTGTTGGAAAAATTATTAGCCACGTGGCCAAGCCAGTCCGCATACGTATTAATATCCAGTCAGCAAACTCTGGTGGCCAAGATGGACCATTAAAGCACCCAATAAGTGTTTGTTCCAAGATTTTGATTTTCATAACCCTGATGTTGTTTTTAACCCCCAGGTTCGTTTTTCTTTCTCCGAGGAAAGAAGGTTTACGAGGTGAACCAAGGCTCTATGTCAGTGGTGGGAAGTCCCGTGCTTTTCGCTGAACGATTCCTGGGGTGCTAAAGACAAACAAGATATTGGAGGAGGTTTTGAGGAGCTTTGTTGTGTTCAAGAGCTCTATTTAAGACTGTCACGTGTGTCTCCTAATTTCTGATAATTTGACAATAAGTAACGGTTTTTATTAGATATATCGTACACATTATGTAGGGTCCAAGTGGAAATCTATTCCTCAGTTTTGGGCAAACCAGGTTTGCGGTATTTATGTGTGCTGAGTTTAATTGTTTCATATGATTAACCACGTTAGTAGTATCTGCTGATGTATGCGTTTTTAATGCCAAAAGGTTGTGAGATAAATGGACGTCTCTTATATCTTTTAATTAATTTTGCTGTAAAATCTTGCTGAGTTCTGCATGTGCAGGAAACGTGTCTACGATGCAACTCAACCTCATTTTTAGAGTCGACTTCAGCGTCTGTCCGTGTGGTCTCGTGATGGAGACATTGACAATGCAGAGATTTGGGGCACAACATACCCCAAAGAATTCAGTTTATGCTTAATAAGGGCGCCTAGATCGACTTGTGTTCTTCCATGGGGCTTCTTACCTGGCGTGAAACTTGAGATTTGAGTTCCGCTGAGGTGAATGTGTGCATTCGCCCTTGGTTTTTGTCCAGAATTTTAAAAAGGCTTGTTTCTGATTTTAATTTGTCCGTCGTCCGCGCCAAGTATTTTTAAATTTCAAATTTACTTGTAGTGAGCAATAACTTTTTTTCTAAGTTTGCGAGAGTTCTGAAAGTGGTTCCAAGTAGAGGATTTCTTTCAATATCAAATTTCCAAAATCTAAAAGCCTGCAATTCACACAGTCAGTCTTTCAAAAATGGGACAATTATAATTGAAACTTCCGGGAAATATTGGGGTAAAATAGAAGACAAATTCAAATTAACATTTACATATACGTATCAAGCCAGTAGAGGGCGATATAGAGAATTTCATTCAGTTGTCTAGGACGGTAAATGAACGTAAAATCAGAATTCACACATCTCTTGAACGTTACTGCAAAGTGAAGCAACATTTCCAGTTCATTCTGGAATAAGCATCTTGGAACAATGATCCAGGAATCCTTCTGTTGTCAACGTGGTCAGCCAAAATATTATTGTTAATGAGTAAACGAAAGAATTGATGTGGTGTGAAATGTGTATACTTCCCTTGAAATTTGGGTTTTTTTTCTTGACATAGACTCTATCCCTCACGTGACTACTCTTCGTTCTAATTCTGCCCACTGAGAGGTACATGCACAATCCGGTCAAGGTCAAACTTCTTCGTTCTGGCAAACTTACGGCCCACTGTTCGAGCTTGCATGTATCCCCCGTGTGCCCCCGCCCCGCTCAGAAATTACCGAAGGAAAAAAATCTGCTGACGATTAGTGTTAATTATGACCGAACCCACTGAGTGCCCCATTCCAGAAAATGAACCCCCCTCAAGTTCTCCTATAGATCAAAATGTATACCCCAATTACGCCACTGCCTCTTTTTCTACCTCCATTTCCAAACTGAACCAAATTCTTAAATGGCTCTCGCATGGTCGTCTTATGCGAAGACAAAACTCCAAAGACCCAATGCCCTAGTGTCACTGTTAAATATACTTCGGCGATAACGCTTCGAACCAGCCAAGCTAGATCGTGCGACTTGAGATTTTTGGCCGGTTGCTCTAGACGATGAATTCTCGGTTTGTGGCGATCTTAATCGGCAGCATCTTGTCTCTGTGTCAGTTTCTATTTGGACTGATGAGAAGACGGGTCTTACGCTTTGAATGGTACCGATGTATAATGCTTTGTTTCGGATAACTTGCTTGATACAGTTTTGGAAAAAAAATAAAATGAGGGGTTTATTGTTTTCATCATACATAATTTGATGTTTTGTTCAACCGGATGAGCCACAACGTACTTGCAAAAATCACCAATTTCTGCTGTATACAAGTATCGGTTCCTTAGAAAATGTTGGGATATGTCAACAATTTTAAGCTCCTAACTGGCCTGGGACTTCGATTTCCTGGAGTTTTTACAAAAAGGAAGAATAAATTTTGTGAATACACTACCGCAATGACGCCTTTCCCATGTATCGAAAGGTGGGTGGGTCTCTCCCACCCTTGACTTTTTTCCAGGGATTTCCTATTTCTGGAAAGGAACTCCACATTTCCCTGCCACGGCTCCAAGAAGTTTATCTTTGCTCCACACGAGAGTTCCCGCGGACGGGCGGACTTAATTTTCCAACGAGCGCTTGAGTCACAGCATGCTGTCGTGCAATATGTGGATTTCGCATTTGCTTCTGTGCAAAGTGCTTTGGTTTAATGTCTAATTTCTCTCCAGTTCTGAATGCAATTGGGGAATACAGGGGCTTTGTTATTAGAAATTTCTGTTCTTCGTATTTCAAAAGAAGGTTTTAAAAAATCAGATCAAATTGTTCTGAATTAAAAAGGCAAGGATTTTGTTTTCAGAATCATTAATATTTAGAATCTGATCTTCATAGACTTCCACGAGGAGTTCTGTAAGGATAACCCCTAATTACCAAGTAATTTTTCTTTAACTTTTAATGACATTTAAGAAATTGGTGGCTCTGTTAAGCTGCGGTACACTGTGTTAGTTGGTTGGGAAAAAAGATAAACCCACGAGGGAATAAGAGCCGTGCAGTAAACCTCGTTTTACACATGGGTGTGGCGCAATCTGCTATGATTTCTTGACGTGGGAAAGCGAAATCAAAGCATGATTTTGATGGGTCCTTGGAATGAGGGAGAGTCTGGCGTTTGTTCAGTGAGATTCCCCATGGTAAACGTTGCGAGGGTGACTATAGTGGGATCCACTGGGGAGTCTTCCTTTTCCCACGCACCTCGGAGCTACGAAGTAGAATATTGGAACTACGCTTCTAGCTCTATTTGCTGAGTGATGTGGTTTAGGGCTGGCCGACAATCCCTGGTAAATTAAGCTCCTGTCACTGCTTATCTCCGTAGCTGCACAGACTTTGTTAAAGGCTATTTCTTTGCCGGGCACAGCTTGATCCCTGTCACATGAGAGCAGTGGGGCGACTTCTTGCATGTACAAGCAGCTGAAGAGTACCCAGACGAAACGATCAAGCGGGGTGGTACATTCAACGGTTCCCATCATTATGCGTGGTCTTCGATTGGAGGGCTGGCAAATAACTTTCTCACCTTCTGTGTATATTCTCTCCAATACACTTAATTTCGTAACAGGTCTTGTATTTTGTCTAGCATTTCAGATCGTGTGACCCACATCCCTCTCCATCTTTCTTGTTCCTATCCGTCGTGACTTTGTCCCGATGTGCACTTACAGCAGCCCATCGCTGTCGGTGTTTTACATCTGGCTGGTAGCATACGAAAACGATCATCGCTGTGAAAGTTACTGTCACTGGGTTCCTAATTCCTGCACAGTGAAATATTAATGGAAGGACTAGGGACCTGTCTTTATCTCCTCACTTCCGTTTAGAAAAACACAAACGAACCAATCAATTGAACAATCGCTTTCGTGGCGCCCTCTTTGGGTCTCTTACGGTGGCTATAATGATTTCTCCAGTAATTTAGGCTGCACCCAAAATCTGTTGTCTAGAGCTAGGTCTAGGTCTTTGTTCTTGAAGCACATGAGGACGCGCTGGCAATAGACGTATCCGTATAAACTCTGGAAGCCTGTTTCTGACACAGTCTTTGGTCAGATAGAATAATTCTAATTGTCGGCGGCCGTCTGTGTACAGGGAAACGACATTTTGGTTTTGGTCTCAGCAAAAGACCTAAAGTTTCGTCCATAACACGCACTGAAGTTCAAACCGGCTGTTAATTTCCCTCAAGATGCACTCGCTTTATAAAAACCTTCCCCTGGGACACCAAGAAATGGGATCACTGGCAATCTGGAGAGTGCCAGTGAAACAATATTTCCCAAATGTGCCGTGCCATGTGCAAAGGATAAACCCATTTCCCATACATCCAGGCACCTACCCACGTGACTTGTTTTCTCAAGCTTGTTTGGTGCCAGCCCCGTCAAACTCGTTCCCGTATAGTGGCCCTTCACCCTCCCTGGAGCTCGTAAAAACCCAACAATATTATTTGAACACAAATTGACTACCGGAGAACTTCTTTGAGATGTAGAGTGCACTTTTTTCAACAACTTCCGACAAATGTTTAACACTTTCAGTCTTGCTGAGCAAGGCTGACAAGCTCTAGGATAAGCAATCAAATTTGTTTGATACTAATGAGATCCAAGATGGGGGAGTTTGCATTAAGATATAGGCTAGATGAATAATGGGATCATGTAGGAAGGGAGCAAGGTTGTGCTCCTGTCTGTCAAACAAGGTAACAATTTTGGAGGTTACAAAAAGGAGAAGCGTCGTGCGTCACGGACCAGATCGGTCAAAATCATTTGCAGTCATGGCGCGTTCCTTGGCTACTCTTCTGATGAGTGCATTGGTCCTTGGGACCAGCGCTGGGGACACCGAAGTGCCGAAGAGTTTGGGTAAGTTTTCCTGGGAGCGGCTGCTCTCTCCAGCCGGGGGTAGACAACCCCGGGCCAGTAACGGACAGACGGACTTCAATGCAGCCGAGGTCAAGAAGATACTGACTAAACACAATGAGCTTCGGGCCTCGGTGTCGCCGGGGGCCTCCGACATGAAATACATGGTAAGTCAGACCATAGGGGAGCGTTTTCCTGTCTTACAGAGCTTGCCGTGTTTGTAATACATGCTTATCACTGATGTGCGCGGTAGTCACATAAAAATGCATGTAATGCGGGTATGCTTTTTTCTAGTACTAATTTTCATCATCAACACCCAGGTATTGTGCAAGTAGGACGAGTTTATTCTCTTTGTGCTGTGTCTACCTTAATTCTTGTTGGTCCCGTGTAACCAACAAACACTAAATATCATGCAAAAGTAGTCAATCATAGTGACGAGGGAGCTTCGAATGTCCAAGTTTCACTCTCACTCATTTTTTTTCTGATAAATTGCATTAAGAGAGTAAATAATTGTGTTGGTACTTGATTAGGCTGGGGATTTCATGTTATATGTACTTGATATGTTGAGTGAAAATTTAATTGTTGTTTTGTTTTCCTATAGAAATAATAAGGGTGGATATGGCAATAATGACAATTATCAAGTATCACCTATAGTTTCATAATAATTAACATAGCTGCATACGGAGTTTACTACTTTTGAATTTATAATGCAGTTAACAATCTAAACGTGCTTATTATGCCTCGTTAATTCTGCAGAAAAACGGATGTCGGTGCACAGTTCATTTCCTGGATATATGGTTGGAATGACTGCAAAGTAGACATGTAGGCCTATATTGTTAGGAAAACAGATCAAATCAAAACGGTGCTAATCTCATATATATATATCTGTAATCGGTAGAGGTCATTTCGTGGGACCAGCAACGATTTCAATGGGAGGGGACGTGCCATCCAACATGACTGGCTGAGGGCATGCCTAACTTGTCCATAATATTATGATATCTCCGGTCTCTTATTTTGTTCCTGTATGGCGAGATCAGATACTCCGTCTTCCCTTTGTAGATGGTTTCAAAGGAAAAATGGTTAACTTATTCTGTCCGAGCAATACCCCTAGGCCCTATAGTTAAATTTTTGACACTGATATCCAGATCTGCTGGGAATTTCCCTCAAGATGGATTCCCACCACAAAAGCTTTCCCCAGGGACACCAAGAACTGGGATCACTGGCAGCCATTTCCCAAATGTACCATGACATTCATTTATCATTCCATTTCCCATCCGTCCGTCACCTAGCCACGTGGCTAGTTCCCCCTTACCTTATTTGGTTTCCGTATGGTGGACCTCCACATGCCCTCTGTAACGCGCGCCAGAAACAAACAGTGACAAAAGTGTTTGTGTTGTCTGCCAGAATCAACCAAAACGTGAAAAGCAAGGAAACACAAATACACAGAATGATAAATATCATAATAATAATAATAAATATTACGGAAGTTCAAAATTTCCAAATTGATGAAATAAAAAAAGTTATCAAAATATTTACAAACGAACTAATAAGTAAAGCTTTCACGAACTGAATCGTGAAGAAATTTCGCTTATGCACAAGTACCCACAGTTTTTCCATCTCTCCCAAGTTGTCAAAAGAACTAAACAAAACTCGAACGTCGATAAAGTCAAATGAGAGTTATCTTTTTCCCCAAATACAGTAACTAAACCAATCATGAAAACTACCAACTTTCTCCAAACTTGGAGTTATACAAATTCACCTGTTTAAAAACCTCTTCCCTTCTAAATCGGAAAGTCTTCTTAAACAACTTATTAATTAGGATACCAAAGCGCATTTGTTGCTCAATCAAAATACCAAAGTTGCTTGGTTTTTTTACCCAAAATGTCGAATCGAGTTTAGCAAAGTATAGGGTGTCACTCAAACGTCATCAATATATTAAAACAATCAACTTACCAGGAACAATCAAGTATGCATGAATCTATATAAGAAAGAGTTATGCCAATTCTAGTCTTCTTCAATAATAAATTTCTTCAGTCTTACTCAGCAAGTAAGACAGGCACTTCGGACTCAAGTACCGGCATGCATCCAATAACGAAGACGAAAAACATGTACACTGAGGGTATCCCGACTTACAAGGTCTCCCTCGTCAAAGTCAAGACTCACCTTTTATCCTTCCACTCACACAGAGCGTATGTCGTATTTGTTCATGGTTGCCACAAGGGCAGCAGTAAAATCAGATTCTCTGTCCCGTAAAAGTGTGTTGTATATTTTTACGGGTCATGTGACTGCCAATGTCCAGGACCATTTCCAATTCTTTACGGTACCCAACCGCACCCTGTCGGTACATGTCAAATAGTGAAACTGTTATGTAGCGCGAAAAATGTTAAGTTTAAGTTTCAACCACAGAACTTGAAAAATTATTCACGTGAATCTTGCAAAATCCAATCGGGAATAGATCGATTACCGTTTCGTCGTTGCCATCTCTGTGGACGTTTATCAGTGGCAAACTACTGAAATCTGATGTGTTCTTTACGTTCACGCGGGCCGGGGACTCTTTAACGCAAAGGAGAAATTTTCTCCCTTTGCGTCGCTTTAAAAGGTCAAATAAAAGACATTTTTACACTCAGTTAACCAGGCAGTTCCCCTCCCCCTAAATTCATGCGTTCATGTCTTTTCAGTGCCACAGTAATGACCTCCCGAAAAGACAAGTTAATCGCTGTACCAGGATCGATAAACGTGACAGGGTAGAAGTGCAAAAGTGTCTGTCGACGGACCAGCAAACATCCATCTGTTCTCGCCTAATAAAAGAGAGACCTGATATTTAAAATCTCTTTCCCCCTTTGTTTTATTCCCCTGAAATCCTACACTTTTTTGATCACTAGTGAACTTCAGACTTTAGTGTTTTTGTAGGAGGTTTGCTTATCATAAACGATTTTTTTTTCAAATTAGGATTTCAAGTGTTTTCTGTATTGGTATAGCAGACCGCTTAAATTAATGGCATTTAACATGGCGAATACAAGGCAAACTCATTATATAGCTGAGTGTGTCTCATAGAACATAGTGATATAAAGCACTGTAAATATAATTGCTGTGTTTTCAATCGCATGTCAGTTATTTTTCTGTTACTGAATAATGTACTCTGCAAAGGGACGTTTTTTTCATCGGCGCAAACGATATATCTCAACCTCCAGAAGAAACCGAATTGGCAAGATGTCTCCATTGAGCAAATTTCCCCCACCCTTCCTCGTTTGATACGTATCCACTAAGTGAGCCTAATAAGACACAGCAGTTGCACAAACAAAATTACAGGCTCCTCCTAGCATTGCGATTAGTAACACAATTCAGTTTTGTGTTCTGTGACGAAGGACTCTTGTGCGCCGATGCACGCGATACAGTAACTGCTACCACGATGGTGTCATTGTTGCAAGGTCGGGAGTAACATTTTTACATACATCAATATCTTTTGTTGAGTGACAGATCAACTCCGTTTGGAGCTCGATCTCTTCCAGAAGTGAGGTGGTTCTGAAAAGTATAACTTCCAACACGCAAAGTTTCAAATCTTACTGAACGGCTATCGTCTTGCCCCTTAACAGACCTGGGATGCCAATCTGGCTTCCATGGCCCAGCGGTGGGCCGACCGCTGCCGATTTGAGCACGGCCAAGCTATCAACCCGTCTTCCTTTGATCCGGTGGGGCAGAACATCTTCGTGCGGGGTGGCAACCCCAACAAGCCGCCCCCAGCCTCCGACTTCGTGCAGTTCTGGTATTCCGAGGTGTCTGGCTACCACTATAGCAGTAACGAATGTTCCGGCGATGGCAGGGAGTGTGGGCACTATACGCAGGTGGGTACGTAGTTAATCGGCGTGCGAAAGGCGAGTTTTGTGGGGGATGAAAATGGTTAACACTCTTCCTGAATTGTTTTTACTGCTTATAATTATACTTCTGGATTTAAAAAAGAAAACGCTTCACAAAGTCAGCAAATGAGTTTACTGGAAACCGTATTCGTCCGTGGGTGAATGAATATTGAGAAGCAGTTGAAAAGGGCACCGGGGGGGGGTTACTGCATATGCCCCTGTGAATTGCACGCCTAAAATATTCTTGCTTACGTCTTTTCAGATCAAACACATTTTGAATATATGAAAATGTTGTGTTTCAAAACTCAGATAAACACTGAACGTCAACTTCCAAAAGTCGTATACTTCGACTTTGAAACTTCCAAACGTTGTACCTCAACTTCCAAACATCTGCGACCCGCAGCTCTATACTTTGACTTCTCAGTCGTAGCCAAAATGAGAGGCCATAATAGCATATGTAAGTAACTGACCTGAATGATCAGAATACCAGCGATGACAGTGTAGTCATCTTTACAGGTATACCGAGCATAATTAGACATCTCCATTAAAAACTGAACAACGTCGCGACGTAAGAAAAGTTGAGCCTCGAGCTTGCCAATCTGTTTTAGAAACACCATAAGAAGAGATCATGCATATTACAGAGAGCGCCAAAGACGTTGGTCAACAGTGAACATCAGGAGCTTGATTGCGTGTTTTACTGAAAGACTCATGCCCTTGACGAGCTCGAATGATTGAATGGAAACCAAAAGAAAGTTCGGATCGTGTCAGTCTATTTTATTATACGCTGCATGCAGCGTCGTGAATGCGGCATGTCGTTAGGGCACCTGTAGGCGCCGATGGCAGTGTCTTCACAATCAGTCAGACCGTCTGCGACAAGAATGAGAAGGAATGTTTTTTTCCTGTTATGAAAAGGTAGGGGATGAGCGGATTTTTGAAACCGTGCCTCTACAGTGACAATTACAGATCGGTTCGATTCTGGAACTCTACCAAAGGCGCAAATAGCTTATAGGTCAGTATCATTCCTGCATGATAAGGGTCCCTGGCGGTAGTTAATTTGCCAAATGTTTACTGCTGCTGCGTGCCTTTCTGAGTATCATCTAAATATGCTTTTAACGAAACTGACCTGCCATTCTTCAGAAACGTTTTTAAAGTTGGGGTCATTGTCAAAAGAAACCCTTTAATAAGTTGATGAAGATGGAATGCATTTTAAAATTCCTGTCCACAAAAATGGAGTTCAAAATTGCACCTTGGAATTTAAAAAGACAGCGGAAAGTTTCTGTTGAAGGAAGGAAAACAATTAAACAAACATGGCCAGTGATCGGGAGATTTACGAAAAAAAGTTTCGTATCCGTAATGAAAACCTTCTTCCAATTATCTTGAGTTATCACTGCATGTCACCGGTGATTTTATCAATACCCACAAGACCGAATTCGACACCCAGAGCCGACCAAAGGCATGAAGTTCGGGATAAAAAAAGCGCAATTCAACTTCTGCGCCAAAAATAATCAACCAGTTGTCTTTAAGACCTTTCATTCCTGTTTTGTAAAACGGGTGATCTCAGCTGTTGCCGGAGGGTTTCAAATTCATGCCCCAACGGTAACGTTCGAAATTCCCCTGTGACCGACACATTAGCGTGCCCTCCGTGGGGGCATGAACTTCGGATGCCTCGGTCTGCGATGACGGATGCTTGGTGGATATACCTGCTCCCAGTGAAACTCATTAAACCATTCCAAACGGGTAGCCATATTCAAAATAGATCGGGAATACAAGCACTCTAGTGTATCAGGTGTTTAGGACATGAAGCAGATTACATTCAAGTGACCTACTTCTGTACTTCCTATTCCAGTTTGAAAATTGTATGTTTTGTAAATGATACACTTGAGCTCTCAAAGCATACGAAAAAAAAGAAGATCCTTGCAGCAGCAAACGGGCGATTCAAAATAGTGCGCCGCGCCTCCAAGAGTTTGCAACGCGTTGGCCAATCACGACGCGCGAAATCTGTCGACCCTTTCCAAATGCACACTGGGTCGACAGATTTCGCGTACTGTGATTGGCCAACGCGTTGCAAACTCTAGGAGGCGCACTATTGTGAATCACCCGTATTTCTCCGGCATTTTTCCCCAGTCCACATCCTAATTAAAATAATAAAGGTTTGCAGAAGCTACCAGGCCCTGCACAGCCTTTGATTCATGTCTGTTTTTCTGTCGGTCTTCCCATCAGGTTGTATGGGCAGATTCTCACAAGGTTGGATGTGGAGTCAAGTTCTGCTCTAGTATTGGCAATGAGAGAAATGCATGGTTCGTTGTATGCAATTACGGACCGGCGTAAGTATACCCAGGGCCTGTGCTGAGGTAAAGGCATATTCTTCAAATTCCCAATCTGGCTGCACATTTCAATCGTTTCCCGACTTTAATTTGCAGGGTTAAATACCGTCGCAAGCACGAAGTACCAATTATCCTTGAGCATTGCACGGGTCATACAGAATGTTTTTAAAAAATCGACTCTTGTTTTCGGGGTGATATTAACTCTAAAAACTCTTTAATACTCCGTTGCAAGAGGCTCATAGGAAATGAGTTATTAAAAATCTACCGATTCGCTTGTATCTTTACCTCCAGCGGGAATTTCCACGGTGAGAAGCCTTATCAAACGGGCGCTGTCTGTAGTCAGTGCGGTGACGATACACCGTTCTGCTTCCGTGGTTTGTGTCGTGAGTATCTTTCGGGCGGTTGTTCCTTTCGAAACGTGGCGTTCAAATTCATCTGTAGCGTATACATGTACAAAGGACGAGAAATAAATCTTTTAGCATTTTTGTGTGGGTGTGTGTGTGTGTGGGGGGGGGATGAAACATTCCGTCCGTCTTTGGCCAAAACGAGGGATAGATTTTGTAAGCGGTGGACCAAGAACAATAATCATTTCTAGGACACGGGCCAAAGCAAGGTCATGTTTTAACTAGTGGAGGCCGAATAGGGACAACAAACGTTTGGGCTTTAGGCCTGCGAAATCTGCATTTACCTCCTCTGAGATCTAAACTTCAATTGAATTTCAAGGGCATACCACCTGCTGACGGCCTAGAAGTGACCAGTTTGTATACCTAAAAACAACGTTGATTATTTTCAAGAAGGGAAGAATGCGGGCCATCAGTTACCCATTGGGACATTGATTTATTATAATTCTAAACGCGGTGGGAGCATCTCCGTAATGCATTCTTTTTGGGCCAACGACCCTCTTTATAACTTTAAACAGTTACTGGTATACTTCATGTCGATTGTCCTTCTGCAAAGGTTTCGTCCAAACGTCTTCGCGACATCATCGGCTAAGCGCTGTTACCAAGGTTCTCAATGTGTGTGTGTGGGGGGGGGGCGAAAAACCCTTTACTATCATTCTCGGTTTTCAAAACGTACACCTAGGATGTCGGGGGATGATATTCCCCAGTTAATTACAAGGCACAACTACGTAGTACAAATTATCTTCAAGGAGTTATTGGATGGGGAGAGAGAGGAGGTGGTAAAAACCCAATCAACAACGAGTGAAATTTATCCCGAAATTTATGAGTAAATTCGGAAACCTCATTCATATTCCTTGTTCTCAAAAAAGGATCGTGCCCATCGTACCGTAACCGTTTGTATCTTCCGTTTTTGACAGACACGTCTATTTACTTAATTAAAACAGAAGCTATAAATAACTTCCGAATTTGTTATGGATTAGCTGTCCCCAGTAGCACAATCGGTTAGCGCGTTGTACTTATAGGCAGTAAACCGTTACGCGTTGCTGTAGAGAGATGCAAAGGTTGTGAGTTCGAGCCTCACCTGGGGAAAGTGTTTTTTGTCGGTTGGCGTTTAAATGGGAATCGATGAGAATTCGGGCGATAAATGGATTGTTTTTCATAAATGCAAGGTTTCATGGATTGATAAATACCTTTCAATTGTAATCATTTTAATATAGATTGTTGTTAGTTTAATGCTGCTCAAATAAGGTCCAAGTTTGTAATTAACTTAATTTTACACGAAACTGTAACAGTATGTTTTTGTGCCTCCATTTTCAGATCGATGCAACCCCCAGTCAAACTCTGAATGCAGTAAGTCCCGTTCCTTCATTAAAATGCACCCACGTAGCATACGTATTCCGAAATACACAAATACATGACTCTTTTTGAATACAGCAAGTCACAATATTTCCATATTTAGTTGCCTCATGGATAGGCTATATTTCTGACAACTGCAATGAAGGAAAATAATTTGGGGGATCAAGGATTTGTTTTCTGTATGTTGTCCCTAAAGAGCCCCCCACTGAAATCATAAACTACATGTATGAGAAAACTTGCCGTGTCAGCACGAAGTATGAATTACGTTGCTTATTAAATTACGTTTGCGAGGGCATATAGATCTCGATATCCGAATCAACATTTCCCAGACACAAAGTTCCAACAGAAGTCAAGCCAAAAGGCCCAACCCTTCAACCCACTGCGCCCCACGCGTATATTATTATCCATGTTTTGTCACAATTTCAAGACTAACAGTCATGATGTAACATAGTTGGGGCAAAATGTTGGGTAAAATTAAGTTTCGTTTCAAGCTTTCCGAAGAAAATAACCCAGTGAAATACAGAAGATGTTCACTTCATCCCGGTAATACATGATTATATCGGTTCCTGTACATGTTGTTATTCAGTTCAATAGAATTAAACTGAGTAAAAAGTTAGAAACATTCAAAATTATTAGACAATTCTTTGACAAATTTACCAAACAGTATAAAATTTCAAAAAGAATTCTTTTTGAAATCTAAACGTTTGGTGCAACTCAGACACTTGGTTCATCCTAATTAATTATCTGTTGAAAAAGGACAGAGATTTCTGATGTAATTTTGAATGACTGACTTTTTCAAAACTGTTCACCATAATTTCTTTTTTTCACAGCTTGTGCTAAAAGATGCAAAAACTGCGGCACTCTCAACTCGAACAGATGCACCTGCAGCTGCCCTAATGGTTTCCTTGGTTCAGACTGCGGAGGTAGGGTTTATGGACAGATGGAACAGTTTATCTCAAATTATGAGATTGCGAGATGGGGACTTTCCTCCTTTTGCTGTAACAGAATCGGTAACAATCATGGTCCGCAAAAAATTAAAGACCCTTGTTGAATCTTTCCCAGTTTAGTTAAAACGGTCCGTGGTTAAAATGACCCTTTTGCAGCTTCGACACTTAATCAAATCCAAGTAGTTCTGGTTTGGGGAAACAACGTCTGCTGAGTCCAACCTCGATGTCAAAAAACAAACAAAACAAAACAAAAAACAAAACAAAACAAAACAGACACAATATGTACGCTTCGTTTCCTGGCAAAGCATTATCCAAATTAATTGAATCGATGTCTCTTTTGGTCGCTGCGATTTGAGCCGTACTGTGATCAACTCAATCTTACACACTGTTGGCCATTGGATCATAGCGACAAAAGCCGAGAAAAACGATCCTTTTGACTTAAAGTTTCATGTATGTCGAAAATGTGAGATATTCGGATGAAGAGTAATTGCACATAACTTACAACCCCCCCCAAATGCACCTTTGTGCCTCAGTTACATTTTCAACTTTTGCCTCATTAGTTCAAAGTGTGTTTTGGTTATTAGGCCTAGAGTAATTCCATATTCATGAGCGAAACTGAGATGTCATCTCAGGAAGAAGCCCCAATATTACATTGGTTTTGTACACAAAGGAGTCCTGCATTGTGTAGATTTTCCAGGACTCAGTTTTCAATCCTTCTCTCAGAACTGTTTTCAGTTAGTAAATTCTGGGTTCACAGTCTGAACAGAAACACCTTTGCACTGAACCATGTCTTCTTTAGATGATTTCACAGCAACAGCGCCCTCAGTTGTCCGGAAAAATGGATAATTTTAATTGTTTAGAAAAGCATACACTTTTCAGTGCATTTAACCAAATACGAGTGTGAAAGAGTTTTCATACTTTAAAGAAGAGTACAAAGATGCAGAAAAAAATTGGGTAAACTACAAATTCATTGCAGCTACAATTTAGACATGAAGTGTGGAATTCGTATTCATTCATGTTTATTGGCCAAACAGTATCCCCCAAAACGCTAAACGTGTTTAGCATTTCAAAAAGTTCACAAAATTATCAGGAAGTGTGCAGAAAAGCACTTAATCAATCTTCAGATAGTTTTAACAAGTAAAGGTCTCCCAAGATTATCAACAATTCTGCCCCGTGATTCTGAACGCGTGGCCATCACTTCCAAGTGGCGTAAACCGGGTCCAATCGGCAGGTGGCATTGGGTATCCTTCGCTAGGGGCCAGGAAGGTGGTCAGTGGTACTAGCTGCTCTTTCCATAAAAATCACGATAAACAATTAAGCTCTTCTCGATTTGGTTCTCTCAAGTGCTGAGTGGGACGCTCACGAAAGGGCACAAGTGGCCTACTCCTTTACACAAATATTTTCGTAGGAAGAGCCCTCATTATTAAGTTTTTCCTCACATTTTGCTTAAGTTTGCAGATGGGAAATCAGCGGTTCCGGCAGGTTACCTCCAGTCCTGAGATGATGTTAGATAGCTCAGCAAGCCAATCGTTGTTACCCCTCCTATTAATTACACGCAAGATGTGGCATTTAAAATGCTCCCTTCACATTTACTCGAACATAGGTCCCGATGTCTCGGATGTGATTTATTTGGTGGGGGCTGACTCACAGCTGCAGAAATGGCAAGTCATGGGAAGTTCTCCTTCTCTGCAGTGAGAAAAGTGATGATGGGTCGAAGATGGAAGAGCTGGAGGTGCATTATCGGAATCGAGCAAGGCCACACGTTGCTTAGTGATCCATCACTTGATTAGCTGATGCAAATCAGTCTGGGGAATTAAACTGATTATCCACGAGGGTCACGTCCTTTATAGGACGTCATGCCGCATATATTGCTTGTTGGATTCGAAGCTGGATTCAACTCCTTCAGATTGCACTTTATTAAGGCGACCAACTCTATTACAGCTTTCTTGGCGCGAGCGAAAGATATGTGGGAAGGCAGTACTTTACGACCACGATCAATTCGTGTGCAAGTTTCCAGCGAACGCTGGAAGTGTTGCCGTGGTTCAATCTGTATTGAGCTGACTAATTCAAATTATTTTTCACCGACGTCAGAGCGTCAGCGCTCTATTTTTGGCTTTTAGACAAAAAAGAAAGGTCTAAGGTTGTGATATAGGCAAAATCTGATTCGGGAGCTATAGTTTTGACATATGTATTTATATTTTTCAAAGAAATGAACGTCTGCAAGTGTCTCGGGATAGTTTTGGGCAGGTTTGCTTGTCATTTTTATTTCATTTCGTAGCGACACTTAGGTAACAGTTCTCACGGTTAATTCTGAGCTTTTTGTATCGTAGGTGCAAGTCCGTATCTAAGTTTATCATTGCATACTCTGTACATATAGGCCTACAAATTGTGTGACTCTATGTTTTCAATCCTTAGAGGTCTGTGAAGACACTCACAGGTATTGTCACCAGAACCCCGGTTGGCCCGACGCGTCCTTCTGTTCCTTTGACCCCATGGTACCAGTAGGATGCCCACTAATGTGTGGCGAGTGCAGTAAGTGCATTCTTTGTAATTATCCTTAGAAATCCTCTAAAATCTCCTCTGGAAGGAGAATATAGGGTCAGTATCCCGTGTCCTTGCACTTAATAGCGAATTCTTACCATGCTTTTAGCCAATTAGTAAATGCTATCTACACATGGGCAAAGAGTCCTATTTGAACGTGGTATGGAGCTTCTGGGTACAGCAGTAATAACCAATATGAAAGTGGCATACTTTTAACCTCATTGGAAATGTACAAAAAATTAATCGAAACCAAAAGTGCACAAAACGAAAACGTTTTTTGTTTTATTTTTTGTCTCATTATTTAGGAGCCCGAGACAGGAACTACCATTGTGGTAAGTCTTCATTTTAAATCTGACCTCATCACGAACTAATTGTCAGCTGTCCTTCGTGTTCAAGACAAACGGCTGCACAAACGTTCATGCACAAAACTTTGTAACACCATATTTTGTCCAAGACGGCTACAACTGAACAAGTCATGAACACCCTTCTGAAAATTGAAATAAAGTATCTATTTATCAACTTTTTGCAATAAATTGAGACTAGACTTGAGTCAAAATTACTCAAACGCAAGAAATCTTTGAAGTTGAAAATCAATTATTTCCACTCAGTAAATGTAACTCTGATCTATTAGTCTGAATTGTCACTCTGTTTCAGTCGATCGCAGTATAGATAAAGGAGAAACTGACAAACGTTAAATTAGCTGGTTATTAATCAATTTAACCTTAATAATGCTGCATGTAACGTTGTACCCTTGACCTCCTCTGACACTACGCAAAGCATCAGTGCATTCATACATGCCTCAACTTTACGTCTAGCCCAGGCTGAGAGATCACTGTCTCTAAATTTCCAAGTGCCGAGTCTCACAAACTGACGAGCGCCCTCTTTGGGCGACATTGAAATAATTATTTGCCTTGGAACAGTAAAAGTCTGAGGAATTTTATGCCGTTTATTGAAGCCAACCCGAATGGTTCCGGTGGGAGCGCACCACCCCGACCGGCAAGTGGTGGAGGGACCGGAGCTACCAAGCCGAAGAAGAAAAAGAAGAAGAACAAGAAAAACAAGAAAGGCAAGAAAGGCAAGAAAGGCAGGAAAGGCAAGGGCAAGAAGAAAGGCCGACGTCCCAGGTCGCTTCTTGACCAAATGCCGTGGTAGAATCCAACAGATCAAGATCGTTAAAAACCCAATTATTCAAGGAAATGGTCAAGGCATTAATTTGTCTGCTGTGCTACGCACTCGTATTAACACATCCCATGGCTTGAGAAGAAAGTGCCAATTTAATTCTCCGCCGGTCTCCCGTACTCGTTTCAGCGTCATTACTGGCGTTCAATATAATGACAAAATAAAGATGCCTTATAATAGTCCGTGTTGTCATTGCACTTTAATTTTGAATCACTAAAATCAGAGCATGAATTCAAACATCAAGGCTGAACAGGATTCTTTTAATCAATACAAATCGTCAGCCTTCGACAGACTTGTACATCATGTGTACTGACTTTATGTCATGGATTTCTTTATATCCCTTTTAATTAATCGTTACTTAAGCTGTACATAAAAAATGCAAGTGTACTAATCGTGAAAGAAGGGAAAGTAATTCGCTTTGTTATGAAACAGGTATTTTTGATTGCCAGTTGTGTCAAATTAACCATTTTATATCCATGTTGGAGCTGGAATACACCAGATATAGGAATCTCTGTCTGGTGTATTCCGGCGCCAACATTTTTATAGCATTAATACCGGCATTAAGAGCTAGCTCGTTTTAAGAGCATTCGCGGCTATAATTCAATTGCATGCCTGACTTAGTGAAGCAATATTTCTCCATACTATATTTGTATGTTTTAATTATTCTTTTAAAAATGATTAAAAACAGAAAAAATTGAAATTAAGAGTTTGTTTTCTGATTATTTGTATACATAAGCCGCTATAGTTATGTTCTCCACTTTAATTAGTTTTGTATAGTTTTTATGCATGTCATACTTTGTTTTGCTCTGCTTTGATGACGATAATCTAAGCTCGAAGTTTTAGACAGAATTATCTTTCTCAACTTTTGGTTAAAAATGACCAGCTGTTGGATAGATTGCGTGTAAATTGTCCAAACGTTTTGTTAAAGAATGGTCAACGGCTTCATTGGAGAGCGTTTTCCATTTTATTCCTCATTTTTGGGAGGGTGGGTTGTTTGGCCGTTTTCATGGGCGGGGATTAGGAATACCCTAGTTTGTCAAGCCAGAAACAAGCTCCAATACATGTTGTATGTAAGAGCGGTATTCATTCCAGTGCACAGCGACAAAAGTAACTCATGTCCAAATCGCGGTCCGCAGGAAACCAAAACTGTATCCCTTCCCAAGCAGAGTACACTTTTTAAAATATTGTGCCTTTGCATGAAGTGGGAATCCGGCGACAGGAGTAACGCTGAGCAAGTGGAAGAAGGGGGAGATCATAACTTAGGGTTTGTACAGCAGGGAAAATGTTGTTCTCGCTGTGTCCCTTCATAAACAATTTGACGAACAAATACTGTTCACACGCAAAGTTCTGTCGCCTTCCACCCTCTGATTAAAGAAGCATTGACAAAACATTTGCAAACAGACGCACTATCATATTCATGTGTTTATTGTTTTGCTTTTGTAAAGAAGGTTTCATTAATATCATCGCTCGTGAGTAACATTTCAAACCTCTCAAAACCTGAAATGTGTATAAGAAATGGAACTTGGACAACAAAGTTCGACGACATGTTTACATATGTATGTGTCTGAAAATTGTGCAAATTATACAGGAGAAAAAGTTTTACGGCAGTTCTTGAACAACATGTTTACATTACCATTTGAATATACACTGTACTTAAGCCTTTTGGCTCTTACGTTTGTGTCATACACAGATTCCACAAGAATGGTTAAAATGTTACCATAAACACAAATTAGAGTTTGCTCAAAATCTCCATTTTTAAAAATAAAATATCAGAAATAAATATCAAATTGCATAAATATTTTACCAAGCGGTAAATAAATACATACATGTGTAAGTACTACATAGAGCACATACATAAAATGAACAGTTAGGAGTCTCTGTTAAAGGCATTCTTTCCAAAGTCAGGTTTTGGATACCGCTTTGAAGTCTGTTTTTCCGCCTCCAAAATTATGCGGTAGGGCATCGCAGAAACTCCTCGGCAAAGTTTCTTGGGTAACCACTGAGGGCGACAAACGACGATGTCTTGAAGTCGTAGACATAACGGTAATAATCTTGTCCCACCAGAACGTTAGCAAAACCTGCCAATTCAGAAAGGGTTTTCATTTGTTTACATTTCATGATTACAATACTCGCCAGTCGCGATTGCATAGTTAACTGTGTGTGGAAGTCCGCATTCTCATTTCTTGTCTAGACACAAGTGTATTCAGTTCCAGGAATATGAGCAACTTCCAGGAAATATATTACACATGTCCAGTCTTTCTCACTGTACTTATGGGGGTTAATCCGCATGCATGACATGGAGTTGAAATGGTAGGATGGGAATGGTTTGGGGCGATAGCCCCATTATATCAGTCCGAGTCCCCTGAAATGCAATTTTAGCAAAACCAATGAGAACGAAAATATAGCAAAACCAACCTTGGGCGAAAAAGGCTGAAGATGGTCTGTCGGAAACACCTTCGAAGACATTGCTAACTTTAGCTGAGGTCTTGGATAGCTCCAGTCGGTACTCATCGAAGGTGAACACCTTCTTGCCCTTGATTAGGTAGGAGAACCCGACTTCCGCTAAGTGGACCACCCCTGAAACGGACCTAGGGAAGCCTAGTTCCCTGACGTGCTGGGGGAAATCCGTCCTTGTGTCCGGGTTGATGTCTTTCAGTTGATACTGAGGTGAGGTATTAGTCCAGGACGATGACTTCTCGTACACCCAGTAGTTCCTTGCTGTCGGTTTGAGATCGGGAAATAAGAACGCTGAAGTAACTGCTGTGTTAGATAGCTTGTCTTGCTCAAGGGTGGATGCTGGGGGAGGGGCAACAGAGCCATGTCCCCCCCTCAAAAAAAAAAAGATGAGGAGTTTTTTGATCAATCATTGTGAAGATAATTAGGTGTCTTAAATTGAGGTTGTTTTGTATGGACAGAGCCATTTTGTTCAGGAAATTATTTCTGAGCAGCGTTCAGGAAATTATTTCTGAGCAGCCTATTTCGACTGGCACATATGATCAGTTAATGCAAAAGTTTACCAGGGACGTTGCTTACTTGTTCCCCCCCCCACCCATGGTCTGGATCTTGCTTCGGTCTTGTCTTGTACTGATTTTTATGTCTGTTCAACTACAAGCTGATTAGTTTCACAGCAGACAATGTTCCGTCAGCAAAAATCCCATCCTACATCGACCAGCTAGTGACATCGACTGCAGGGCTCTTTTACTAGCCACATTCCTCCATATGAACCTGGACAATTTTGCAAGTGGTGTCATTTACCTTTGAGTACAATAACGTTGCCACTTCTTCCTTCGTGATAGACAGCCCTGACATCGGCCGGAAATTTGGGGAAAATGTCCCGCGGAGATTGACCCTCAGGGGGAGAGAGGAGATTGCGATCAGAGTCGAACCGCCACATCAGACCACCCTGCCAAGAAATTCAAATATGCATTCCATTTATTAATTAGAGCCGACACTTGTCTTTTTGGCTGGACGTATATTGACGACGACCATCTACATCTGTTTCCACATCTCACTAAGTTACGGTTCAAATTTGTATTTGCTTGAATTATCGAAGTACATTTGGCTGCATGTTTTCAAACGGTGTCTCCCCCTTTCTTTCAAAAGTTTGATTGCCAAACTTTTTAAAATAATTGACAGATTTTATGTTAAGAAACAGGTAATTTTAGTAACTTTTAATTTCAAAATAACATTGAGAACGTGTCTTGTTATTGCAGAGTAAAATCTCTCATTAATACTGAAACATAGTTTCCAAACAGAAAGCCTAGACAAACAACATACTGCTGGAAACCTCGAAAGTGGATCTTTATTGACCTTGTCCTGGTAACTGTACACCAGTAACTAGTACGGTTCTGGTTTATCATCTACTTCAAGAATTTCAATTATTTGGATGAATGTGCGCATCCTGTCTCTTCATCGCTCCACGAGGCATTTCATTGTTCGATAATTCTTTTGGAAGGACGGGTAACAAAATCCACTCTGCTATCGGCCAAACCCTAATAACACCAGGTTGACCCAATATAGACAACATATCTATAACTTGCAGATGGAAAATTCGCTTCGCAGCTGAAAGGTATTAGATGTACATGAACATGCACACTTACCCCGAACATGAAATACTCGTTGTCAATGAAAGCTGTGGCACCGAACGTGTTTTCGCAGTACAGACGGTTCACGGTCACTGGAGGCTGTGTTGATGCAGTTGGGTCGGGATTGGGGCCTTCGGAAAAAAAGTGCACATAATTATGTCTCTTAGAGTATTAAACCAAATGCAATTCCGGGCACAAAGCAGGGGGCCCAGGCTTTCAAAAAAGCCACTTTAAATACTTACACAAATACGGAACACAATCTTGAACTAGTGACCACTGGCATATCCAGCGGAGGGTGAACAGCATGCTTGCTCTCCCGGGACATAGTGCCAGGGTTTTATTTTATTTTTTGAGAAACTGAAAGGGCCAAAATGAAAAAAAATCGGTAACAGCAGCTCCCTGTGGGAGGTTGGGAAAGTTTTTCAGAAAAAATTCTTACTTTGACCCAGGATAAATCAATTAATGAGGTGAAAACAAAACATCATCAGTATCTCTTCCGTTCTTCCATGATTTGACCTAGGATCGGCCTAGTCTGCACTGGTTTTTCTTTTTGCTTTTGTTTTTTGTTTTGTTATGAGGGACCAGCTCCAACTTCTCCAATACAATCCAGTAAAATCACGAACCACCTTGAGAGGCTCGAAGACGCGGTCTCCAGTATTGTTTTGAGGTATCAAAAGAAAATCTTACCATAGAGAGCCTGGATTCCCAAGATGTCGTCCTCGGGTAACTTGAAGTCAGGGATGTAGCCACGGTCGTAGGGCCACATGAGGGAATCCGATACGTCAGAATGGAACATGCCGAGGGCGTGGCCGATCTCGTGTGCCAGGGTGTAGAACAGGTTAGTGCCTGTACAGGAAGTATTCGAACAAATAAGAACATGATGAAAGATGAACTACAGACTATACGAATTTAAAACGAAAAGCCACTTAAAAAAGAAAAGGCTATTTGGAAATATAATCACAAACTTTTTATTCCTTTGTACATGTTTGATGGAAAATAAATAAACACTGAAAAAAAACAAGGCACGATTTGTATCACAGGTCACTATACCAAAAGAATCTGCCAATAGAAAGTTTTAAGTGCCTTCCATAATAAATATGAATTTTTACTGAAAGGTTAAGGCATCTTGGCATCTGGTGATAGAATTTTAAATAAAACTCGGGTCTTGATATAGTCCTTTTCCTTAGCTAGCGTCAATTGATTACGGGAGAGGTTAATCAAATATGATCAAATCACTAGATTAAAAAATGCATTACCTCTGAAAACACCTTCAGTGAAGGTTTCGTCGTCGTCAAGGTGTACATCTCCGTCGGTCTCTCCCCATCCCGAGTTTGGGGTGAAGGCATGGGCGAGTGTGCCACCGGGGCCGTCGAATGGAGGATCTCCCGGGACTCTGGTGTGCGCCCTGCCGCCGAACAGAATCCTGATGTCCGCGTCATCGGAGTGGATCTCGGTGAAGGTCAGTGGTGTGACGTCACTCCAGACCTTGAAGGCGGCGTGGATGCCTTGGTCCACTTGCTCGCGAGTCAAGTCTGGCGAATTCTCACCGGGGTAGTTCATTACTCTTCAGGGTGGAAAAACAAATTTGGTCAGTACAACTTCAATTAGCAAAAAGAAAAGGCATTTTCAGCCACTTTTGGCGCATTTTGCAGTACACTAAAATCTTCCTGCCGGATTGTGACAAAACACTTGTGATGTCAAACGTGATAAAGCTAGAGCTTAATTTTTCCAAGTTAATTGTTCCAACCACTGGTTGGAACAATTAACTTGGAAAAATTAACTGATTATTCATTTAGTAATTCAGAAGAATCGGCAAATTCAAATTTGATTGTTACTGTTCAACTAAAAATGCAAAAACAATTATTCGCAGATGACAACGTTCACATTTGGACAAAAAACGACAGAAGTTGCCAGTTTTTAAGAAATCGTCAGAACCTCACTTGTATGTAAGATCTGTCTTGTCCATCCATTTGTACGGGTCGCCTAGCACTGAATACCGCCTCTCACGTTGGTCTTGGTCTGGCCGCTTCACTATGTCACGGGGATTTCCGTCTTTGACTCCACAGCGGGACTTGCGTAGTATTTCAGCCGTCTTCTCGTCCAATTCCCCCGTCGTAGGTATGCCAGCCATGCGCTGCATAGACACAATCGCCTCCCGTTGCTCATCTGCGGTTGGGGGTTTACCCTCAGTCTTTGAGGGCAAGTTATCGAAATAGCCGTACTTCTCAAGAAATTCCTGTTGAAACAACATATTTACACTTGAATGTTTTCTGCGATGTGTTCTAGAGAAGTGCCTGAAGAGTACAATTGAATAGAAGACGTAATCATAGTTAACTTGTTTTTAGTTAAGACGAACAGCTAAGAGTTGAGTTCTTTTTGGATTTACTTACATAGAGACGTGCCCTCGAGGCAACATTACTAGGAGGTAGAGCGAATGTTTCTGGAGTGAGACTGCATCCTAGAAACGCTCCGAGAAGCGCAAAAAATGTGAAACTGTACATTTCAGTTGTACGAGCGTAACGTGTTGAGCAGAAGTATCGCGATTTACCAGTGATGTTGTTCACACACACAAAGAACTTTTATAACAAGATGACCACTGACTTGCCGGTTATATAGCCGTCCTCCAAGGCCGCTATTTCTCCACTTCACGGATCTCGCAAAATGACCCACCTCAAGCGTCTGCTCTGTTTCTGGGAATATAGCCAGTTGTAATTACAATCAGCTCTTATAACCGCAGTCGAGTGGAGCAAAACGGCTTAAAATCGTGATAGTGTTTGTTATCCCTCCACGGATACCCCGCCTCTGATTGGATGACTTCCACCGCAATAAGATGATGTCAGTTCCTGCTTCAGTCTGAAGTGCTGAGTCTGTGGGTACGGACTCACTCCACCGCTTCCGCTTAACGCCTATTATCTAGAGTTTAACAAGACTGGTGTAAAGCGATGAATCCCTCGAAATGTACTGGGACTTCAGGTACGGATGCCAGTTTTGCTTAAGTAAACAAACTACGCAAAAGAATTGGCATTGTTATGGGTCCACTTGCGACAAGAGAAGAAAAGAGAGCAACTCAAATATTTGGCAGGTTTGTGTACACAAAGTGCAACGTGTAAATCGGTGACTTAAATCCAACCGCAGAACAAATGCTCAGTTATACATCTAAACCAACAAAACTGTTTTTCGACGGGTCTGTAAAACGGAGGATTGTCCAAAGTAGCAATTATTTAACATTCTTGCACGATGATATTATCAGAGGTTTGGTACAATTAATTCCAATTGCACTGTTAATTCAACTTGATAAGCAGTTTTAGGTTAACTGTTTTCATAATCAACGAGTGCCTCGGCTCACTATGGGAAAACACAATTTTATTGGCATGAAATTCTTCGGGCGTGTTCTTTCCACTTTATTTTCCCTATTTCCATCGATCTCTTAACCGCGCTCTGATTATGCAATTTTTTTAAAATCAGAAACAAAAGTTTTAACATAGGCCCTATTTGTTTTCAGCCGGTATGACATTTTTCAATGGCTGTCTGGCGGATATCCACTGGAACTGGTCGAACTTTGCCATTATTCGGCTGAACCATTATACAGTCAAAGAACTCTCACTTACCAGAATAATTGCACCGGGTCAGTTGTTGAAAAAAATGCATTTAATTTTCTTGCTGCACTGAAAGCTTATGCCTTCACAAAAAAGGGACTTTACTATCTTGCACTGGGACTGTACCTTCACACTTCAGCCGAAATGCCAGTTGGGTCCTTCTTTAGCTTTAACATTCCACCACTAGACTTGCATTATTAATTACGCGTTATTGGTTTGAATGCCTGCCCCTTGAGTAATCAAGGGGCAGGCATTCAAACCAATATCCTGTTTCCTTGGAGAAAGTTGTTTGTCTCATTCGGTAAAAAAAAAAAAAAAAACAGAAGCGCGCAGATGTCTTTCGATTCAAGCACATCAACCTCATGTGCTCTATTGAGAAACATTACGTCACCAACAGCCAATCACATTTCGTCGACATACACCCCGCCAGTCACGACATGCACGTGAGGCATCATTTTGATTATTAATTCTGGGTTGGCCTACATCCGTCACTCCCTGTTACACTGAGTTCAGCGTGGCACGGCCTGCAGGTCGTGGAACTCAGTTCCTTCCCGCGCCTAGTTTGCCAGCAGTTCCTGGAAGCAGTCCAACTTCGAACTTACCACATTTACTCTTGCAGTTTAGAAACACAAATAGTATCGAAATAAATGTACAAACGCCGACCTTACGGAGGAGTTGACTTTTACGCGTTTTCGTCCAAGACGCCACTGTTCGTAATTCTCCGTGGACAGCGACTCATGAGCACCATGACAAACAAGCGCTCTCACATTACTAACAGCAACAACATCACTTAACTGAATGTGTATGAACACTCTTTGTGGAGTTAATACACTTTGGTCGAAAAGAAGTGTTTTTATTGATAGGGATTGTAAGTCAATGCCCTTCCAGCCAAACTTGCAGGGCGGGGTGGGGGAATGAGTAAACGAATATTTGTACAAAAAAGAGCAGAAAGCACCCGGAATCTGCGAGTTATTGGCCATGGTTGAGTGTGGTTGCTTTTACCCTAACATGGATTCAAGCCGTCTATCAGATAACTTGTAACCGCTAGTTTTCGGTAAGCTAGGAAGTTCAAACATTTTGTTTGCTCTGACATTTGTCTTAAAACGAGTTTACAAACAACTTACGGGTACAGTAAGAATAATTACATCGGTACCTGAATTGAACATCAATCCACGGAGTGATGTTACTCAGTTATGCGCTCCCACACTGTACACCTTTCGAAATACATAACTTCGCAATAAGGCAGATTAATGTTGGTGTCTTGAACACAGTCTATAAAATTAATGCAATAGATTAAAATTGCCAGTTTGCAAAACGTAGTTTGCAAATTTTACCTCAACAGCGGACGTCAGCAAATGCTTTGAGTTTAAATAGGATCCCTCTCCCCGACTGAACAGTTAGATTTGAACATTGGGATATCGACATCTTTCCGCCCTGGGCCAAAATTCTTGACCGTTCGACGGACGTGTCACACTCTGGCCTTCGGCCTTAAGTCCTCAGTGGCCTCACCAGAGTTCCACGGCTTGACGCGGAACAATCGCTGACCTCACACCCATGCAATTTCTGGACAATTACCCTTCCGGTCATGTGCGGCCTCAGAGGAATATTAAAAGCGTTACCATGTCGACGAAGTGATGTCAAGGAATGATCAGTAGTTACACATTCTGGTTTGTGAACCCATAATACCCATTTTCTGTTCATAGACATTTTCTAGGAAGACGGGGCTCCGTGACTGGCAAATTAATCATTCAGTTCCGGTTGGAATCCATTTCACAAATCTGTAGAAGTCTGGGACCTAATTAAAACTCATATTTTTGGAAGTGATACAACTTAAAAGTTTGCTCACGCTTTTTGCAGAAATTCTCTGTAATATATCCTGTTTAATGGTAAAAGTACTGAACTCTCCGAGGCCCAAGAAAATTCTTATATCCTCTGCCTATCGGATCGGACGAGGCGTAGAAATGGGCTAGAGAAAGAATGGTTCCAGATCCTGTCCATTCTTTCCTAGCTTTACACTTCTTGTCCTTGCACATCGCCCACGTGACCGTCGATAAAGCCCACAACATCGAATAGTCCCGTTGAAGCACGCCACAGCGCTGGACGGAAAGCTACATACATGCTTATTATATTGCTTTCCTCTGTGGTCGTCCAAGCATACACAAGTGAAAACATTACCCAACTGCATGTATTTGGTCGAAAGCCCCAATATAAAGGGTTCCTCTAGAGATGAATAGCATGTATTGCCTTTTCTTTCAATTTGTTTACACTTTGTTGGTTTCAGCAAGATAAGCTTTTGGAAGTTGCGATATTTTCTTTTCTTAGATTTCTTTAGATAGGTATGAATTCAGTGAGCAGATAAGCTACTGGGTTCAACATTTGAACGGAAGATCCATGAATTGAACAATATTCCCAAGAATGGCATCGCGGCAGCAGCGCCCCCAGTTCCAGTTCCTGGGAAGGCGTGGACGTGTTCGCCCACACATTTAACCGAAAGAGACGTGTAAATAGTTTTTCACGCATATAAGTTGGAGGAGAATATAGGTGCACGGCTGTGCTTCCAAAAATTCATCCTATGGACCCTTAAAGTGAAGCACGCATAAGAATGTGGACGCTGACAAACAAGAAACCGAATGAACATTATGTATTACTATTTCAGTTGACAGATGAAAACGTCAGTTTTTTTCTATTGTAGTAACAGACATAAATAATAAATACTGAATATGGTAACTACGAACAAGAGATCAACGATGGAAAAATAGCGAAAACACATAGCTATGTACATGTACATATTTAGAAAGACAAAGCTTAAAACACTCAAATTGTATTTTTACATCGACTGATTTTGGTCTTTAAAAAATGAATAAAAATTGCAAAACAAGTCAAGACCTTCCGGACTAAATGGGCAGGCCGGGGTACAAATATTAGCACCGAAGAGAAATCAAGGCACTGAAATCTGCACATCATTGGTTGCGGTTGAATGTTATTGTCATATCCTGTTTACTCAATACCTTTTTCAAATCAAGGTTTAAAACATTGCTTGGTATGAACCGGGACTGAAAAATTTCCCATAGGCCTAGAGGTGGATGAACGACGTGCAAACAACAAAGTTCTATTTAGATTGTATTCTAATCCCCAGTTTCTGACGAATGCTCAAATCCATCCGTTCACTGGCGAGAAAATTGGTACCCTTCTGTATAAAGCATGGGGCAATCGGAAGTCAACTGGCCTGCCAAGTAGGATCGGAAATCAAGTGTGACCAAGGATTCACGGGTTTGCGAAGTCTTAACGTGGACAATGCCATAGTCCTCTACAAGAACTCGCCTCTTGTTCCCGTTGTCCTCAAAAATTGGTGGCACTCGAAGGAAATCTTGTATAGTACAGGTCAGTTGCCTGTACAAGCCGGGCGGATCAATGGCCTACTGTTTTTAAGGGCAGTGCAGGAAATCCTTGAAAAAATTTCGTGGGTATCCTGGCATGCCTGCGAAGGCCTTCCTAGTCTGGTCCCACTTAAAACGAAAGTAGTCCGCTCCCTGTCCGTGACTGTATATGAGATATGCGTAGCCTGTGTGAAAAAGATAAATATTGCGCATTAACATTTCTGAGACCAGCAGTGATGAGAGTAGAACTTCTATAACTAAATAATGTAACTTTTGGAACAAATTTTGGAAAAGTATGCCGGTTATCACCACGTCGATTAAGGCGCTCAATCAAAATTTGACGTGGCTCCCTTCTCCTGATTTTAGAGAAGATGTTTTGCATGTGAAGACATCACGCTTCGACTATGAATTTGGGAATCTTCATCGGCACGATATCTAAAATTTGAAAATTCTCCCTTTTACTGCTGCAAAACAGGAGTAAAGTCATTGCTTCATATATTCAACTCATAAAAATCCTACTTCATGGTTCTTTAAAGGCCTTCAGCCTTTATAATTTCTTAATTCCCAGGATCAGAATCGAATCCCAAGAAAAGCAAAGCCACTGTCAATGCTAAAAATCTGTGCAACAGCCCCAAGCGGTCTCTAGCTAAGTCACACTTGCGGGCAACGCATTATCAAAACGGAGCCTTCAGGATAGCCTTGGAACGAAACAACAGTGCATACGGCATAATCGATGTGCGACTCTTTCAAAACCAGGCACTACTGGGCAAAGTCTCTGGGAATTAGGACCTGAACATGTTTCAACAAACATCAGATTGACATGATTTGCTTATGTTTCCAAATTTAGAATTATCATTCCATTTATACCATCATGATAGAAAGCTCCTGTCGGAAACCACTGCGCGCCAGGGAAGGCCAGATGTGTCTTCGTCTCCTCGATGGTGTTGTTTTCATACTCGTCCACGATCCGAACCATCTTGCCCTTGAAGATGTACGTCCGGCCCTCGTCACCCACGTGCAGGGCCGCCGAGACCTTCTTGGGAAGAGACAGCTCCTTGGCCAGGCGGGGGTAATCGGGCTCGCTCGGCAGGTTCGAGGGGTCCACATCGTACATCTTGAAGAGTGGAGGTGGACCGTGGACAAACGTGTAGACCCAGTGGTTTCGTCCTGGTTGTTAAAAAAATTTAAAAAAAAAAGGAACTGAGAGTTTTATTCTTAAATGATCCCGTGCAGTTTTACACAGAAGTATATTGGGGTGTGCGGTTAGCTTCCATTATGCTTTGTCGATATGGATGTATCGGCCAAATTCTCCTGCAGTACCGTTGGTCGTGCTGATGGGATACAAATATCATTAAGTCATAAGGTTTTTAGTTAATGGGTATGACTGTCAAGCAGGTTGAGTCAAGCACTGACTGAATGCGACAGGAAAGGTACACCCAAAACTCATAGATTCAATATTTACTCATCAGATCCAGCATGCAGTGTCTATTTTGTCTGAATTTGATTCCGCTAATTTACAATAGAAACCCAAATCCTGCAATTTTTGAAGTGACGTCTGTTTAAAATTACCTTTAAAGAAGTATATTTTCCCGTCGTACCACCTCTCGTAACCAGCTGCAACGCTTCTTGGAAGTTTGGGGAAGTACGTCCGAGATAGCTCACCCTCTTGTTCTGACAGTAAATTGCCGTTAGTGTCAAATCGCCAAAGTTTGTCGTGCTGGGGGCAGAAGAAAGGAAAAAGTTGCTTTCATGTCCATCAATGATAGCCGCCCAAAATGGGGCCTCTGAAACTGACCGAAGGCCGCAGTCTTTGCAAATTGTACTCTTTTTTTCCTGATTCCGTTTCTCGCAAAATACAAAACAAACAAACCGTCATGTACTCAGAAAATAAAGTTTTATGGCATGTATTTCCTTTGGGCAACAAGACAGTCGTAGACCCGTATATTCCTCCACATATTTGCAGACATTTTATGCCAAATTTGCGGCCATTACTGCCAAAGAGACTTGGATTTGAACGTTGCAAATATACAATGCGAAAATATATCCTATAGAAATAGCTGAACACACATTCCACATTCACATCACATCAAGGGACAAAGTACACTCTCAGTGTAACAGAAACTTACGCAAACACAAAGTTTTTGCCCTGAACGATGGTTTATTGTACCCATTTCGTACGGCCTTTGTTGAGCAACAGGGTAATTTCGCAGAAGCAAAGGGATTGTGCGTGTGCAACGATGCTCAAAATTTCCCCTCTTATGTCATTCATTTGGCATCTTCCATGCTGCCTTTTTATGACTTACTGTTTGAAAGCTTTCTACGTGTTTTGGGAAGCATGTGTTTATAGCTTGGTAAGAATGGGATTTTCTCAAACTTGTCTCAAAGCCTACATCAGATATTGTTAAATCATGTACATGTACAGGAAGCCACACAATCACTAGTAAAGTATCTTGTTGACTTGCAAGGAGGAAACACATATCATTCTGAAATCTGAGCTGTCTCTTCAGGTCATGTTGGTTGTTTACTCACAATTGTTTTTTAAAGCCCTTTACCCGGGGTTGTGAAAAAATGAAAATGACTAATTTGTTTTGAGTACCACTGTGCAAATGCTCACTACTGATTCTCAAGAAAGACTTCCTTTTTACTACTTGTACAAATCACTCCCAAAACAATTCCTTCGCTCCTCCTATGCTACCATTATGAAAGTATCAACCAAACGGGAAATCTTATGACACGATTATAAACGTTACTCTTTTAGGGCTGACTTACAGAAAATGCGTAGATCTGGCCGCGGATGAGGACCAGGGAGCTGAAGAAAGTGATGCAGTAGGCAGGAGGAGGCGTGGGTGGGGTTGGAGGCAGGGTCGGCGGATTCGGGTTGGCTCCTAGACGGGTGAGGAAAAGTGAAATTATCACTGAGGTTTGAGGTATCCGTAATCATTCTACCCTAATAAGTTGCATGCATATTTCCCCTGACAAACTGTAGTTGATCATTAACAACAGCCCAAGCCAAAGTTCATACTTTAGAAAGAGCGGCTGATGTATATGTTTATGCTACTGTTTTGAGCAAGGTACCCGGCGGCACGACTTTAGTACATGTACACACTGTTACGTCACCGATTTAATTTTAATATAATGCGTATCCAATATGCATGGTGAACGTCATCTCAGTTGTTGGATTTCGCGACCTGATTGTAAGCATTCAGTTTAAGCTACCCGCATGATTAACTAACGCCTGGCCCAATTATTAATTTTACCGTATATTGACTGTATTGCAGCTTTGTCGTCCTCAGGAAGCACGAAGTTTGAAGTGTAACTCCTCCCCCACGGCCACATCAAAGAATTAGGTACGTTGGAGTGATCGAGCCCCAGCGTGTGACCAATCTCATGGGCGACAGTGTAGAGGAAACTCACACCTGTAAAATGATTCAGGGTCAAATGAAAGAGGGTCATTCTCAAAGACTTGAACTGAGAGTCTGTAGTTTTCTTTCTCATAAACATGATGAAATGAAAGATATTATGATCACGTGACTCAAAGTTCACGAACACAAAAAGCGTAATGGACACTCGACATGGTTATGGACTGCGCGCAAATTCTGAGAATGTCCTTTTCAGTAGCGACAAATTGCATTTGCGACTTTGCGAGAATGACAATGCAACAAACTCATTTTTGACCACAAGCCAACTGTTGTATCAAAACTGTTTTCTTTTTCAGCTTTCCAAGGTTTACCTCTATAAACACCGTGGGTATAAGTCTCATCCTCGTCAAAGTGAGCGTCACCGTCGGTGGCGCCCCAGTTACTGTTGGGCGAGAACGCATGAGCGAGTGTGCCTCCCGGGCCGTCGAACGGAGGGTCACCCTCCACTTCGGTGTGGGACCGCTTGCCGAATATCAGCCGGATGTCCGCCTCGTTTTCATCGTCCACCGACCGGAAGGTCAGTGGGGTGACGTCACTCCAGAGTTTGAAGGCTTGTATGACGTCGGCGTCCACCTCCCCAGCTGTAATCGTAGAGGGCGGACCAGGGTAGTTTACGACCCTGAAGTAAGAATTGAAGATCGTTAAGCAGCAAGTAGTGGCATTGTAATCTCGAATCATTTTGCCACCTGTTCTGTACCTTGTCGTTCAGATGCTCAACAATTATTAGAAGTATCCTAGTTTTGGAGTGGTTGATACATGTGCTAGTGTTTTCAGGCTTGTACTCTTTTATCATTTAACATATGGTTATAAAAAAATGGTTCTGTTTTTTATGTAATGAAAAAATGAAGGCGTTAAAATCGTGACACCTGTTTACAAAAAGCTAGTCAAAGACCTTAAGTCAGGAGAAGGTTTCGGTTCTCTACCCGCAACAAAAAATTCATTGCAGCTCACTTTATCATGAAATAGTCATCGGATGCAAGAAAGCCGCAACCTCCTTGTGGATGTTGCTTAGTAAATATTTGTCTTCGAACAAATTGGTTTTGTTGATAATCCTTGTGGCAAAATTGGAGAACGGCAAACCGCCGAATGAACAAAACTTACGCAATATTTATCTTGCAACCACTCAAAAGGAAACAGTTTACTTCCTGAGAGGTGCTATCAACATTTATCAGTTCGAGTTGCGAAAATTTAGTAGTACGTGGTTTAAATGAGGATATAAATATTTTAAGTTGTCGATAGTGAAATAATAAGTTGAATCACAGGTGAATTTTCCAGAAAGGTAAGAAATGAAATGACGTCATGCTGACTCAAAGTCTCTCGAAAAATTTCAACCCGTTACGTGAGCTACTGATCAACTGTATTTGATGTATAAAATTCATTCAAAGGAAATAGCAATGGAAACATTTCTTCAACACTCACTGAATTTCATTATAATATAACCGCATGGAACTGTACTGGACACGATAGAAATGGCATGAATCATCGGGCTGGGAACTGAAAACCTACTTGTAGGTTAGGTCGTGCTTGGTCCACTGGTAAGGCGGACCAGCCACCACGTAGCGGCGACTCCGTTCCCTGCTCTCCGATAAGTTAAACCCCTCGGTGCCGTTCGTAAGCTCTGGATCTTTGACCCCACACCTCGGCCTTTCGATCAACTCCAGAGTACTCGAGTCGATCTCACCCGTCTCTGCCAGACCGGCGAATTTCTGGAGGCGCTTAATGGCTTTGACGGCTTTGTCGGGTGGCAGGACGCCGCTGGCGTCATCCTTCGCAGGCCGCTTGCTCAGATAACCGTATTTTTTTAGATACTCCTTTTTAATAAAAGAAAAAAATCTTGAAAAGTCAGTGTTGTAATAAAAAAATTGAACCGCTATAAAACAACTCTTTCCTGATTAAGCGACAGATGATGGATAAACTTTGTCACCTTTTTTCTGTGGTAAATCTAATAACAGATTGTAAGTGGAAAATGTCAATTAAGACAATGCGCAATAAGGGAGGAGACCGAAGTATCGTGAGTATATTCCAATCATTTTCTTCTTCAAAACAAAATCGGTAATACTTACAAATGCCTTTACTTTGTTCATGTCTTGGACGTCGTGCGATTTGGGAGGAATTACGTCTTTGTCAGTGCTTCCATAGGCAGCCACCACACACGCCGCAAACACCACGACCAACCTCAGACACTGTGCCTTCCAACTTGCCATCTCCGCTGATCGTTTCTCTTTACTCTCACCGCCAAACGTCTCAAGTCCCCCGGGTTTGATTTTAGAAATTGTCAGATGTTACTTCAAATGTTCCCCTTCCTCTGTCCCTTCGGTATGACTGCTCATGCATCCCAGTCCCATTTATAACTGTATACTGAAGTAGGCGGGACTTCATTCTCTGCATTGTCATAACTATAAAGCAAATATAGGTGAACAGTAATGACATCACCTCCTGAACGCGCCAATCGGTGAGACTTCCGGGTGTATACCTGACCTGCCATTCAGTCATGCGGTCGACGGCTGTTTTATGTATGATTTTGTAGACCGTCTGCCGGCATGATTTACTCTGTCTAAAAATCAAGTGGATTCACGTCCTGAGTTTTCCCAATGCATACAAATTCACTGTCTTGATTTTGACTCACTGACAGATTGACGTGCATGTTAACTTTCAAAAGCACGGGCGTAACTTCTTCGCACTTCGATGCTAGACTGATGATTGTAAAAAACGGGAGATATTAATTGCAGATTGGAAAACATGAATCAAACGGGTACGCATTGTCACGTAACACACACAGAAAGTACAAGCCTGGTAAATATAGACATTTCAAATTGAATGTCGGTAATTTATTTTATGGCATTATAGGGGAAAAAACAACGTTATAGTGAACAAAAAATGTTGAATTAGAAAAACAAGTCCGGGTAATTCTTCAGAGTGAACATAATTGTATATCAATCTTATGCTGATTAAAAAGTGTTATGTACACGTCAGTTTAGTAAAATACACAACATTCCGCTTGAAATTACCAATTATTAAAAGGGAATCGGGCACAGAGTTACCTTTCAGTTGTTCTGGATAAAGACTTCACACGCAAAATCGAATGACTTGTAACCGATAGGTAGCAGCGTGGAAAGTTTTCGTAACTTAACGACGCTGTCGGTTACTTTGGCTGATGCAGTCAATCTGCCAGTGGGTTGTAGGCAATGAATTTGTAGACCTATGCAATGGAAAAACAGGCTGAGTAAGGCGGGTCAGATCAATACTGTGGCTCCTTTTTCGTCGTCCACCTCTGCGACAGGGTTCAAATTCCACTCAGGTTGGCATGCTGATTGGATTTTCAGTTCCTACCTGATTTCGTGAGTCTCCCTGGAATATTTGTTCTGATGTTTCCCTACTACCTATGAAACTGAAAATTTCGTCACTGTCACTCATTATCATCCTGTAATTAGCGCTGATGGCCCTGTTGGATGAACCAAAATAGATAATTTAAAAAAAAATGTTTTTTTTTCGTGAATACCTGCAGGATTTTCTTCTGCTAGTGCTGATGTGCTTTAGATCATACTCAACCCTCATTTATGATTATCATGTTTTATATATGACTTAAAGATCGGACAAATTTAAGTGACGTCTATTTTCCAAATCCATCATGTACCCAGAAAACCTGGTCGTCTTTTTTTTTTAAATAAATATGAGAATCATTTCAAATGACGGTATTTTTCTAAACACTCGGGTTGAACGTGGACGCCATATGTGAGCTGACCCTTTACCAGATTTATATGTACATTGAAAACAATAATGCGAAACTCTTTTGTGGTGCTGTGGCGACAGAAAAATCGATTTCATCTCTCCTGCCCATGATCCCCCTTGGCGACCACTATTAAGTCTGATTCGTCAGGAGGGAGACCTGTTTTCAAAACCTGAACAATTTTCCATTGTACATGTATGTACTACCCCATGTATTGTTGTTCCGAATCATTTGATAACAGTCAGACTTCAATCAGACAATCAGTGGCGTAGCCAGGCTGGGGGGGGGGGACTGCAGGCAAGAGTTCCCACGGGGGCAGTTGCATTCTTGCCCTCGGCTTCGCCACTGCTTCCTTACATGGCCTGTTAAACTACACAACTCGGTCCATAGGAGGTGCTTTATGAGGTTGAGTAATTACACTTTCTGGAGACAGAGTGATTTAGGAAATAGCCCAGCCTGCAGATGACGGAGAGCGGCTACTCTTTAGCGACAGTTGGTCCATGCCGTAGGGCCCTACCCCATAATCAATAATTTAGGCGAGCCCATTTCCCTAGCTGTTTTGGCGCATAGTCTCATCCCCAAAGTGCAGGCATGAGTCATTGTAAGCCGGGCCGAACCCTCCCAACCAAACCCTCTCCCAAAGGACCCATCTTTCAATCTGATTACAATGCGTTTAGTGTTGGGGTCGCGTACTTGGGACATTCTGAGCTGACCACAACAATTAGCAAGCGGTTTTGCTCGGTCATTGTCTTGTCAATCAGTTTGGTTTCTGGATGATCTGATCTTAGACAAAAGAGCCAACGGTTCGTTTGACGTGAAGCTGCAGGGCTGTATAAGCACATCTACGCATACATGCATATGTATAAATTATGTAGAACAATTTTCATTCTCCCGAACACTAGATGTGATTGCAGCCATTTTTCAAGTGGCAACCCTCAACTTTCTCAGGCACTTAACGACCATTTTTCAACCGTATCTTTTAGCCATTCTGCTCTCATATGAGAGCTCAAAGACCCAGGGAGTTGATCCTGGCAAGGATTTACACAATCTCACCATTTTTGGGGCAAAACAATCTCCTTTTTCAAAAGATACTGTGGGGGCACTTTTAATGCTAATAAGCTGGCCAGAAATTCTCACTTGAATTCGCCGTCTGCACCCCTCAGGTTACAATAGTGGTTCACAGCTAGTCCAAGATGTTGAAACCGCCCTCCTCTTTGCCGGTTGGTCGGGGAGGTGTGTCATCAAAGTTCACTGAATTTGGCAGTCCAGATCACGAAACTGAAATTGAGAGTCAGGTCAGGTCTATTGTCTCGTCGGAATGTAGCAAGGGCGGATTATGGGGGCAACGGGTCATGGCCCTTCTCCAGGCCTTTTTAATTTCTTTATTTTTTTAACTAATGAAAGGCGACGGTTTGGAGACATTTTCATTTCCAACTGCTGGTAAAAGCCTTCAAATTTAACCTCACTGTTCAGACAGGCTGTAAATGGTTCTGCATGAAGTCCAGCTTATTTGCTTTCCCTCCAACATAAATTTTGGAACCGGAAAAGTTGGTTCTGGATCCACTCTTGGATGGTAGGCAAATTTAAGAGGGAAAATTCCTTTTTGCCTTAAAAAGTAAAAATTATAATCATTATAGGGCATGGCAACATTTTGAACGGATGATGGAAAGCAAGCTTGTCACATTGGAATGTTGGAAATTCATTCACCTTTCGGTCTAAAATTTGGAAACACGTTATTAGGCATTGTTCAAACTTGCCTCTCAAAACTTAAATGCCAGAAAAATTACATGGGCTGTTGAAGTATTCATAAAATACATGGCTAATCATGACGGAATTTTATTGATCTCATCAGGGCGGAATTTCTACATTCCGCGGCCGCAATGGACATTGAGCTCTTCCTGGTATATGCCCTTTTCCAATTTAGTGGGAAAAACCTTTATTTTTACATTATGACAGAAATGCGACTTTTAAAGATATTTCATTTCCCCTCCTTCCCAAAACTAAAGACCTCACGATTTAGCTCCACTGCTCATAAAAGGTTACATAAAGAAATGTCCAACTCCCCCTCGAAAAAATGTCACTTCCGAAAATTTGGTTCTGTAGATTTGCCCTTGAATATCTTTGGGAGCGACGGCATAATCCACGAATTGGGCCCTACGGCGCAGCTAACAGTCATCGATTCGGTTGTCATGGTTGATTAGGGCTGACTCGTCGCCCTGTCATCCATTACATTTCCATCATTGAGTGACCATTCTACGAACTCGCCTCTTCGAGGACTAACGCATAACGAATCGAACATGATCCCACTGTTTTTATTTGTCATCCTGAATCTTGGCGGTTCCGTGGTCAAACCTCGGATATTTTCTCGCCGAGACATTATGCACAATACCCAAGTCATAGAACAAAACACACAGACCTCTCTGTATTCTCTTTGGTCGACCTTTTGTCATCAAAGCCAACGCGGTGTTCCGTTATGAACGGAATCCTTTGTGACATCTGACTCGTGTGGTTCACGTTTTATGAGGCCTTGCACGTAGCGTTCAAATATTCTTTGGCCATTGTAAATAATCCCCAGGCGCTGCATGTCAAACATCATAAAATACGGACACTGATACTAAGTTATTTCACAAGCATTCGTGATTTCGAGAATTGGACCTTTGCATGCATTTTTGAAAGATTGTTCACAACAGTCATGATGCAATGAACGGAACAAATTCCGTCTGTCCAACGGCCGATACGAATTAGACATAAACCGATGTGAATGGAGCAATAACCTTGAAAACTCGCCAGAAATATCAATGTCACCATGCAGAAAAGGCAGGCTATCACTACACCCCATGCATCATTGCAGAGAACTTAATTTTCAAAACCCCATTATATTTACTACACCAGCTATAAAAAATATCGATGCATGCATTGCAACATCGACCGCAGCATAGACTGCCCTGCTGAGATGGCAAAAGGAAAGACATCGCCTTCCCGTTCCCCAAAAAAGTCGACACTGGGAGGCAAAGACCGCGATTTTTTTTTAAAGTTAAACAAGATTTCTTGTTATTAATAACACATTGGCAAAATAATTTAATCACAGATGACCACAAGAATGAAGGATCTGTTTTTACAATATAATTTTCATAAAGTTGAAAAAAAAATGGTGGGTACCCCGCGTGGCGTTTAAAATGGGCCCATACTTGCAGGCATGTCTTTGTGAATTAGTATGAACTGCCTTTTGCAAGGGGTTAAATTGTCTCTTTATTATAATTCAGAGTACAGTATAAACTACCCCGTGTAAACCTATCCGGTATAAAGTATGCCTCGGGTTTGGTTGTGCGATTACAGGTTCGCTTTTGCTCCAATATAAATAAGGCAATGTCATACAAAGAGCCTCAAGTATAATTATTTTCTGAACTTTGCCACTGTACATGCGTTTTATTGCTCCAAAATACGATGGGTACACTGTCTGCAATCTCTCACACTGAACACGCACGACACGTCCCCCCCGCACACCCCCGGCTGAGGATCGTTATTCAGTGAATCCCGGTGCAAATTGTATTGCTTGACCCTTGCGTTCCGGGTTAACGCGTGCTTGCACCAGTGAGAGATCCGAGAGACAACCGGTTTGACGCGATGGTAGGGAGTCGGGACTGAAGTGCAAAGGGTAAAGGGGTTAACAAACAAGAAATCATGGGAGCATTGAATTTATCACAATTATATCAAAGTATTGGGAATACAGGCGATTCACAAAAAGCACGCCTCCAAGAGTTTGCAACGCGTGGGCCAATCACAATGCCCGAAATCTGTCGACCCTTTCCAAACACGAATTGGGTCGACAGATTTCGCGCATTATGATTGGACAACGCGTTGCAAACTCTTGGAGAGGCACTGACTGTGAAAATTTCCCAAAGAAGTCAACACTAAACCGAGATTTTGACAAGACGGCGTATAAAAGATCCTAGATAGCCCAGTTAGCACTTGGGGAAAGTCTAGAATCTTCCAAAATAAAAGAAAAGCTCCGTTCCAAACGTATTGATCTTTGTCTTTACTTCAAGAGATGTGAAACTTTGTCAATGTTACCGAGGCGGAAAAACGCATTAATGAACCTCAAAGGAAATAACAAGTGAATTTGATGCTCTTTCCTTCATGGAAACGCCCGCCTAAATGACCAGAGACTAATCGATACCCGGACGGAAAAGAGAAGTGGCCAATGTTGTTATGCCTCAAAACTATCTTCTTGTAAGGGAAGAAGGGTTGAATAGCTTTTCAGTTTTGTACAGAAAGTAACTCTCTTACCGGGAGTGGTTTGCATTCTCGTGTGGGCTGTCCTGGACTGCTCCGTAAACCTGGTGAGAAAATGAATGGTGCACTTGAATTGAGTATGCAGCCAAAATTCCACCCCTCACTTCTTTCAAAAATATCGGAAATAATCATGTATGTGGTGCTGCATTAAGAGATAGAATTGCCACTGATGAAATGATTGTGTAAAAAAAAAATCCACTTTGACAGAATTTAGATACTGTTGGCATTATCACGACACCAGCTGAAACTGCAAATTTACCTTTTACATGTCGTATCATTTCAGCTTTCGAACAGGTAAATTTGATTTTCAGCACAAAACTACAAAATAAATAAATGAACAGCACTTGTGAAACAGTTGGAATTGAAACATTTATAATCGTGCAAGCAAATTAAAAGTGTTCCATCCCAACGCTTATAAATAAGTTACACGATACTCTCGGCTACCTTCGCCTTCGATGATTAAAAACACAAGAAGGCTTCCTGTATTGACAACATGGCATTTCTGTTTTTTTACGTCCTCGCCTACGCGATTGGAATTTCCCAGTGGTTTGGCAGCAATGCAAACAATTGTCCAACTATATATTAAATCGTAAGTCTCTGTTTCACACTTAACCGATCAATTATATGAATTATTAACAATATTATTATTATATATTTCTGGTAATGACACCAGGGATTCCTCAAAAGCGCCCTAGGCACTGTAGCTCGCAAGCCTGAAGAAACCTGTGGAGAGGAGACAATGAGAAGCAGTTACAGTTTTAGAGGTGGGAGGAACACCCTAAAGGAATATTCTTGGTAAAACCCACGGAATCAGGTAGGGACTGAAAACCCAAACCACATGTGGACCTGGCCGGGATTCGAACCCGGTCCGCAGAGGTGGAAGCCGAAGAAGGAACCACTACGCCAACGTGACTCCCCTAGAGATAGATTGTACAAAGAGGCATTCAGTTCTGAAAAACGCAAGATTGTTAACGGCAATATCCATCATGAACCTCAAAACGTGCCTTCGTTTAGGTGAAAGTAACCCAGCAGACTCATTGGTGAATTCGGTTGAAGGGATGTGGTAGCTTCATAGGACTTCACTGTCATATGAAATTCCCTCCCGGACATGGCACGTTTCATTCATAATATGGTGCGCTATTGTCTTCCGAGCATCACACATCGCTAGTGTGCCGTATTTAGGCCTATATCATTATCAGCATGCACGAGCCGTATCTCACGAAAACACACAAAAACTGTTTCATCGCTGGAAGTCTATTCTTCTGAAACTATGAAAAACTGTGACGCCTCCGTTATACCTTCCATGTCAACCACACAATATTGTCAAAGTTCTGTATTTACCTCCGTGTTTATGCAGGAAATCATCTGCATTCATTAGAGGAACTGCCGGAGGACTTTATGACAGTGACAGTCAGGAAGTTGCGTGAGTTTGGAATTACATAAGCAACAACAATCAGAGCCAAGTTCTGCAATATCATGTTTCCTTCTCTTTATGTAAGCACACATTTACATCATGGTGTTTTTCAGTAAACGGAAGTACACTGTTTGATGTAAACAACTTCTAACATAACAGCATATATAGGTTGGACAATTTCAAATACAGTAAGAAAAATTGTGTTCTTGTAATTTCTTATGGTCAGAGAATTTGACAGTATTGTGTTGTCGGTTTTCCCTCGGGCTAGTCTTGGCTGCATGATTAATCTTGATTCAAGGCGCTGGTCATGTGTGCCACTGTGCCCGTCCCTGCGCACGACAAATGCACAATCTGCGGACACATCACCCCCCCACGTGTGCGTTCGGCGGCCCAGTCAGGTTTCTTGGTCAGAAAGTTCATTGTTAATTGGCTTTTGTCATGCATGCTGTGGTGACAAGTTACCAAGAAAGATGCAATGAACAGGGATACGGATCGCTTGCGGACCGACACTGCCATAACACTATTCCAAAAGTTATGAAAAAATCCGAAGAGACGCCAACACTGCGGGGTCACATTACCCACGAGTCCAACATCGACTCTGTGCGCATTACGTTTCTGCACTTGTTGAGATCGCGCACGGCATGATGGGAACGCGGCGGAAAGATCATAGCCATGGGAACGCCCGTACCCACGTGAATCCTTAACATTTGGCTCGTCACACCATTGGTCGGTACCTCCAATCGGTATCTCCGACACTTATGTTGTTATTCCTGTAAGATAGTGTTGTACAATCACACAGTTTGCCCTACAACCTCTGCACTTGTGTGTCACTGTCCCACACTAACTTTTGTTCCCTTTATAATTATGTAATTTGAATACGGGCGATTCAAAACAGTGCTCCTCCAAAAGTTTGCCACGCATGGGTTGTAGCTCTATGCATAGACCGAAATCTGTCAAAACCCTTTCCAAATGAGACTTAGTTCACCAGATTTCGCGCATTGTGATTGGCCAACGTTTTGCCAACTCTTGGAGGCGCACGCTTTTGTTTTCGCTGCATTTACAGTGATCCTGCGCACATGTTTCGGTTCCGGATTTATCTCTTTTACAACATTGTGGGTCCTTCCTTTTCCAGTTTTCTAACCCTGTAATGCGTTACAATGTTATTTAACTTTTAATAACGACATCGCCGCAGTGATTTCAGGCTTTTCAAACACACGCACAGCAAAAGAACAAACCAGTGTTCAGTAAGGGCCACCGTGCTATTTGGAACCAATAAAGTGATGAAGAGTAGTTGCAGTTGTTCAGTGTGGGAACACGATTGTATGGCCTGTCTACGGTGGCCCACAACTGTCACGGCAAAAGCAAATTTTTCACGACAAAAGCAAAAGGGTCATGGCACACGCATACACGGATCGCCAGCGAAACATGGAGTGGGATACTATTAAGTGTACTGGTCAGCCCACCGGTGAGGTAATGTTGATTATTATTGCATGAACACCACGCGTAACAGTAAACCATGTTTTGCAGCAACTGTGGACACGACAGAAATGCGGGCAATTTCTGCTCCAACTGTGGACAAGGTTAGCTTTTCGTCGTCTTCGTTTGTTGTGCTTGATATCTAGGCTGTAAATGATTTGTTTTATTCAAACTAGAACTCTTTCCTTCCAATATCATAGGAGCTGGGAGAGGGTGCAAACCACGTACGGAGAGAGTTTAATACATGGATACAGACATCACCCTATGTACAAATCCTATGACTGCATTCGCATGGTCTGAGTATTCTTAATCAATGTTTTGTTAGAAAATGCTCCGAACTATACATTTTGGGACAT